TATATATATATATATATATATATATATATATTCGGCCAATCCAATCTGGGTATAGTGGATAACGAAATCATCATTTTTTTTTCGTCAAAAAAGAAAAAAATCCAATAAGAAATAATCATTTAGAGCATTGCAAATTCAAAGACTTTCACTCTCACATTCTGTCTTTTAAGCGTCGTGGCATCCAAAGACAGCCGAAGAAGACAACACAACATACTAATGAGCCAACGGCTCACGAAAGTCATGAAATAAATAAAAAAAGTAATAACTTCACGGATAGAGAGATACAATTTATATACTATAATGTTATAATTTCTATGAAAATTCTATAATATGTTATTTGGAAAACGAGATTGGACAAGATAAGGATTGAAGGATAGGAGAGGAAAAAAAAACATGTTATTTGGAAAACCGATCAAAGAACGCCACGTGGATTTTTACCATCATGTTTGGTTTGTTAGCTAAACCGACTTGAAGACTAAAAATTTATATAATCATGTGATTAGCGATCCATCACATTAATCACGGATTCAGAAGGAAAAAAAAACGCCTACTTTCTTCCATGTAATGATAACCAATTAGATGAGACGTCTTTTGATTTCTAAAAAAGAGGGTCGCATTATAATCATTGCTAATGAGTTTCTTTGAACTTAATTAACGTCAAATTCTCTCCCTTTTTAACTGATTAATGTTGCTTCAAAATGAAGTGATGCCAAAAATAGTTTCTGATATTTATGTGATCACAAAATATTCAGACAAATGTATTAGAATATAGTATCACTTCTTTACCCAATATATATATATATATATATATACACACACACGATCACTTTTAGAGCTCATTTTGGTTTGGTTTCGTAATTATATTGAATTTGAGATCTTCAAATAAAATGTAAAACAAATTTCAATTTGGTTTGGTAGGAACGACTATTTATACAAGTCTTTTTGTTAACTAAACCGAACCGAACTTAACCGATAAAAAAAATAAGACTCCTCCCTCTTTTTTAACCTTAAAGGTATAAGTGAATCACCAAATGGTGTTTCTTCACTTGCTTTTGTTTTTGTTTTTTTTTTGTGTGTGTAAAAGCCTAAAGATTCCTAATGTGTCAAAGCATGAATCATGAAGTGGATCATCATGTCGGTTTCCCAAAAGCAAACCCTCCTTCTTGTCATTGAACAGACAATGGCTCATAGCTACACCATCTTCCTGCATATTGGAAGACAGCATCAAACCCTTTTTAACATTTACATGGTTCGATTCCGTTATCCGATTTTACAAATGAACAATCCAATATATCAACCATCACAACAAATAAAAGAGAAATTGAAAACGTTGTTCTTTACCTCTTTGTTTGCCAAAATGAAAACCTCATCCTACTCGGTTGCGGTGTAATGTTGTTGGACCGGCCGAGTTTACTTGTAGCATATGATCATGCAAATGAATTGTGATAACCAGAAATGAAGAACATCAAAAGCCAAAATTACCAATTTAATAATATGAAAGGAGTTTGCAGTAAGGTAGAGAGATCTTTGCTCTTCCCTTTCCCTTCCCCTTCCCCTTCCCCTTCCCCTACTCAATTCAATTGTGTGTATGTGAATTTCTTCTACTAGAGGAACAAGTCTCCTAAGAGATGGTCCTCTTGCACATTGAGGATTCACCTCTGTTGGAATTTCAGCTAGCCGATGTCCTAATCCATGGATTTTCGATAACAACAATACCCTCTAGAACTCCAATATCATGAAACCAAAGGCTAGCGATCTTTAAGAGAATCCAATTCCGAGGATGTCAGCCAGACCATTCATGGCTTCAACCATTCAAAACAGCAAATGTCGTTTGCATATCTTAAATCATCAAGACAAGAGAATCAAGAACCGAAAAATTGAACCAGAACACACACACACACACACACACACATATATATATACATACATACATACATTATCTAGTAGTAGCACATGAGAAAGTATGATCATCATGATAATCTAGTTCATGAATCCGATGTGTCTCCAACGAACGAGCTAGTGTGTGGTTTCAGCCATTTCAGAATCATCAAACAACTCTCCAACCCAACAAATTAAAAACACAAAAATGTCAGCAACTTCATAAGCCAAGTAAGATACCTAAGGATGAACAATGCTATTATCGCCTGTGATTAGGAGGGAACCTATGCATGTAAACACTCTGATTCGTCCCAAAATCCAAAAAAAACCCTAATACAGAAACAGATCACTATATACACTTCCCATGTAACAATGCCTGTGATTAGAAGAACTAATCAACTATCTCAGGAAGAATCCCAATTTATTCGGACATCAACTTGAACTATCTCAGTTTCCAAACGAACAGCGACCATAGTAAGTGCATCACGGTTCGAACAAAGGATCAAATACGGAATCCGACATTGCAAAGGAAGAGGAAACCATCAACCTGATCCAATCAAAACCTATCACAAAACACAACCGATAAACCCTACGATTAACAACAAAGATTACGATGAAATCTCAAATCATTTAAGAAATCGGATCAAGGTTCACATACCCAATTTCCTCTTTCCACTGACCAGAACAAGCTCTTCTTCTGCAACAGTTTGAACTTTGAACTACAGATTCGGCAGAATTTTCACGACTTGACCGCTGTACGAGTAAATTTTTTTGGGAAGACAACTGGTTTGATATCGCAACTTGGGCCCATATTTATAAAGCCCATTAAAAATATGGACCTAAGTTTACCTTAGATTTATTATTATATGGCCAATAAATGAAGCCCATAAAGTTTACTGATTGGGCCCATATTTAAAAATCTGAATATACTTTTATATTTTTTTAAAGATTGTAAAATAGAAATACGATCACTTATAAAACAAATAATTTCTCCATCATATATGTATTTGATTTTTTCGAGTAAGTATTTATAATTACTCTTATATTGCATCGTTATCGTATATGTTTTTATAGATCGTGTAATAATTTTTTTACATGTTGATTAGACAATGAAAAATAAAGTTATCCCTAGAATAAACTCTATTTAACAATAATAAAATTTCGTTTGAACATTTAATTTAATCATGGCACCTCTCACACGTGTGGACTGTTATTCCTTGGGCCCAACTCTACACACCGCGCGTGTGCAACCATCACCACAGAAACCAACAGATTACAGATGCTCACACAGAGAGTTTATCCTCTACGACGGCGTTACAATACGCATCTGATGTTTCCCCTTCACGTGATGTTTTTCACCGTCGGATCATATCTTTATGGGAATAATGACACGTGGCGTCTATCCATGGGATATCTCTTCGCGCCATCTCCTTACCTTCTTCCGTAAACATGATTACACAAGATCTCGGCTCTTCACACGGCGAGAGACACAGGCAGTTCATAAAGGGCAAATGTGTAATTTAGTTATAGCCGAGGGAACGCTCACGTGACGAGCAGCACGCATTTTCGCCGTCACAGTCTCACACTCTCTATGTGTATATAAAAGGGCTCTGCAAATCGATTCGAAGCAAACATTTGAAAATTTTCTCCGTCTTCCTCCTCCTCCTCCTCTTTCCGAAGCTTTCTGCAGGAAACTTTCTGGTTTCTGGTAAGAAAATGGAAATCCAGGCTTTGTGTTAGTGTATATTTGTGCTATTATACATACATGTGTACACGTTTCTCGCCTCTGTTCATGTTCATGTTTGATCGAGATCAACGTCGCGATGATGGTTTTCCTTCTGGTCCTCTGGTTTTTCCCTTCATGTCATTGAAGGTTTCTATGTTTTACTTTTGATTTCTCCAAGATTCAGTGAATAGGATTAGTCTCTGTCGATTTTTTTGTTCGTTTTTTCGTACTCGTTGATCTTTGCATTTTCGCATCGTATTTGATTTCTCCTGTTTCTGTTTATTTGTTGCTGATGTTTTTTCTCTCCGCAAATGGAAGCTCGAGAGCTGCGGAAGAGCATCCATAGGAGGTTAACGAGTGAAAAACTCGAGAGTAATTCTCTCTCTCTCTCTCACTGGGTTCGTACCTTCTGCTCATGTCAATTTTACACGCACGATGAAAAATCATCATCGCCCTACTGAAGATGATTCTGTTGCCTAGGTGTCCCCCACGCGCGAACAGTATAGCGCGCGTGGTTTTCTTGTTCGTTAGTTTTCTGTTCATTCGCGGAGTCAGCTTTTACGATTTTCGCATACGGCAACACATTCATCCTGATACTTTCCGTTGCAATTCGCCACGAACATCTGCTGTTTTCTCACAAACATCTTCTGTTTTCTCTGCACATATACACGATAAAAACTATATAAAAAAAAGCATCTGTATATGCAGGGAACGATGTACTTGATAAGCAATCCGGTAAGAGAAGCCATCGCCGGAGATAGTTCATCGTCACCACCTGTTCGTACGAACGGTAAGCTGAAGATAAAAGACTCTCTCTCTCTCTCTCATTCTTGCTTCGCACTTTTTTTTTCTGCTGTTTGATACCCATTTGGGCTTCTCTCATCTCTCCCCTGACTGTTGCAGAGACCGTTGCACATCTAAAAGTAGGCTCCTATTACGAAATTGACGTTTCCAGTCTCCCACAGAGATCGCCAGAACAACTCAGGTTCATAAGAATCGCCATGGTAAACTGGAATTTTTTTTCTTCCCTTCACTATTTGTTCTTCTCAGTTTTCTGGGCAACATCTGATTTTTTGTTTCTTCTTATTATTTTTTTGGTTGGTTTTTTGCGGTTTTGCAGGTAAGCAAGATAACATCAAACCATGTTTCTCTCCGATACCCAAGCATGTACTCACTCCGATCACACTTTGGCGGAGGCGGGATGAACCGGAATAAACCGGAGAAGGGTGACGGTGTTCTTCCCCTTCTGGACGAGAGCCACGCGATGGGATCAGAGATTGCCGGAGAGGTGCTGTACAGAAGAATCCCACCTGATGAAGTTTCCATGAGGAGAAATTCGCCGAGTTTCTGGGTTTCGGACATGGACGATTCTTCGTGCAAGGAGAAGATCAATTGGCCAATATACACCCGAAGACCCTCTCGCGCAGCTTCGTGGAAAGGATCGTGCTGGTCTGAGCTTAGGTCGGCTGGGATGGTCAATTGGGGAAAGAGACTGCGCGTGCGGTACCAGAGCCGGCATATTGACGAGAAGAAGAACGAAGCAGGGAAGGAAGGTCCTGCTGTCAAGAAAGAGGAGGAAGAACAAACTGCCAAAAAGGATGTGGAGGAAGAAGATGCTGGTAACGAGACAGAGAGCACTGATGAAGGGGGAGAGAAGGGAGCAATTGATCGTAGGAACAGTTCGCGTAAGAGAAAGCCATGTGGGTCAGACAGCCAGAGACCAGCCCAGAGAGCCAAAGAAACTAAACCCAATAAGCAAAATCAAATTGCGGTTTACAAGAAGAAAGTGGCCAAGAAGTTCATTGACAGATGGTCTGTCGAGAGGTGAGTCTTCATCCCTGACTTGCATACTTGAGCATGTTACTTAAGTCTGATGAAAATTTATTGTCAACACTGACTGGTTGATTTATGTTCTGAAGGTACAAATTGGCCGAGAAGAACATGTTGAAAGTGATGAAAGAACAGAACGCTCTCTTCGGAAACCCCATACTCAGGTCTGAGTTAAGGTCAGAAGCTCGGAAGTTGATTGGCGATACGGGTCTCCTAGATCATCTGCTCAAGCACATGGCTGGGAAGGTGGCCCCTGGAGGTCAAGACAGGTTTAGGAGAAGACATAACGCAAATGGCGCAATGGAGTATTGGCTAGAGAGTTCTGATTTGGTGCATGTACGGAAAGAAGCAGGGGTTCAGGACCCTTATTGGACACCTCCACCAGGTTGGAAACTCGGCGATAACCCTACTCAAGATCCCGTCTGTGCCAGAGAAATCCGCGAGATGAGAGAAGGCTTAGCTAGTTTGAGAAGGTACAAGAATGGCTTATTACTGATATTAGCACCCCACGTCTTTTGTAGCCACACTGACATTGGTGTTTAACTTTCTTGGTACCGAGAAGAGAAATGGAGAAACTGGCGTCAAAGAAACAAGAGGAGAACCTTGCTATGGTGACTACCCCAAGTTCTTGTGTCACAAGTCAGACCTTGGACCATGAAAACTTGATGATTCCAGCAAAAGTAAGAGAGCTCAAAACTCAATTTGTCTCTTTTCGACACTGTGTTAACAACAGGGCTTCTTCATTTCAGGAAATGTATGCAGAGTTATTGAAAAAGAAAGACCAGATCGAGGAACAACTGGCAATAGTTTCAGAATCATTGCACAAAATGGAGGTACATTGTATTGTACATACCCCTTATAGACCCTGAACTCATCCCTTGCATTATCGAGTTTCTGGACTACAAAGCTCTCTTCTTGCTGATTCTATCTAGAATCTCATACTTCACTTGGTATCAGTTGTTGTTCAGTTATGGTTTAAAAAATGTAGAATCTTCTAATTCATTAGGGTTTATGAATGAAAATGCAGGAAGACATGGGATGGCTACAGTCAACAATGGAAGCATACACTCCAAACACTAACAAAAACGATTCAGAAGACACACTACCGCCTTTGCTATTGGAGTCGCCACCGGCAATTACCGAAGAAGATGAAGACGCAAAGGAAGTGAACGAAGGAAAGCTTATAACAGAGATAACTCCAAACACAAACCCACCAGAAGAAGAAGAGGCAAAACCAGTGGGTGATAATAAGATGGAGATTGTCAGAAGCAGCGGATTCAGAATTTGCAGGCCTGTTGGAAGCTTCTTATGGCCAAACATGGCTGCTGTCTCTGTTACTACTGCCGTCTTTTCCCCTAACCCTACTACCGGTTTGGTTACTTCTCCTCCAAGTCAACAATGCGAAACCCTACCCATCCTTTCTCCTCCTCCTCTTATCAAGCCCCTGGCTGCAAAGCGTCCCGTCCTTGTGGATTTACCTGTCACTGTCGCTCGTCCGGAAAGTTCCAGAAACCTGAATCAGACTTCTCCTTCAACCATTAAAGCTGCAGCTGGAAACACAGCAGCGTCAGTTCTTACTTTCCCCGCAAGTAACCTCAAACCTTGAACCAAGAATGCCCAGACGGAGGAGAAAAGCCAGCAGGTAATTAGAAGCTTTTCACTTATAGTAAAAATTAAAATAACCGAGAAAAAAAAAGAGCTATTAAACTAAAGAATAACATACATTTTCTTTCCAAATTTCCCCTTACGAGGGATTTAACTGCGTTACTTACTACGTACATATAGGGTTGATTTGATTCGGCTTTACTAAAGTAGAAAAAAAGAGAAGACTGAAACCACGAAGAATTTTACGGGTGGGGATTCTTGGAACAGTAAATGTTCCGATTTTGTGAAACGGGAATCAGATTTTGTATTACACAACATTTTCTATAGTAATAATAATATGCTTTTTTGTTTCATGATCCGTTTGGTTTTGACACATTAAAGCTTGTTAACTTATGGTACCAAACATGTGGAAGTCCATCCATTCACATAACCTCTTCACTGTAATAGAATATGTCGCAATGAAACAAATGGAAGTTAGAATAATCCATACGTATATGTGTATATATATATATTCTCCATAACAAAAAAAAAAGGTGTTTTTTTGTTGTTGTTTAATGTTTGAGAACCAAATGAAAAAGAGAGTCAGAGCTTGGCAAAGATATAGGAAGGGGAAATGGTGGTATCTCCAAAGTCCAAACAGGAAGAAAGTGAAGAAACCAGCTTCTTCACATCCTCTTCTGTATGCCCTGCACTCAGTGTCACTCTCAACCTGACATTGCCAACACACAAATCCAATGCTCATGTCCCCCATATACATACACATATTCATATACATACATATATATATGGACCGTTAACTTCACGAGATTAACATTACTGTGGATGGATGGATCCTAACGATATCGTGTAAAAAGTTCCAGAGAAAGGAGTGGTGTAGAAAATATGGAAGGTCTTTCCCTTTTACCTGCAAGAATTTGGTGGCACCGTGGGCGGTCTGATCGCCATTACGTGAAAACCTGATCTTAGTAGATACCTGTTCTTCACCATGAATGAGAAAAATACTTACAGAGAGAGAGAGAGAGAGAGATGATGTATGATGATGAAGCATATCTCACCGGCTAGCTTGAAGGGCTTTGTTTTCATCACCTACGATGAGGGAGATGATGGGGCTTGAGATATGGACACCAGATAAAGCCTTAAACTCTTTGACACGGTCCCATCCCGCTCTTCTACGCCATTTCTCCTTCCTTGCCACTACAATCGCAGCTAAACGTCCAATTGTCTTTTTTTGTTAGTAAAACAAAAGTTCATCATACCCACAAATTACTAGCCACCGCTAAGGGTGAGCATTGAGCTATATACTATACCATAAGCAGCAGCAGCCATTGGAACTGGTATAGCTGTTGAGAATATGAAGGATCGACCTCTTGATTGGATGAGTCTCTTCCACCTTTTGCTGCTCACAAAAATAAAAACGAAACAAAAAGCCATTAGGCCAGTCGGTCTATGAATACAGTGTGGCATCATGGTTTAATTCTCATGAAACCGGGAGAAATCATACCAGTTTACAGACTCTGTTTTACACATTACATATCAATTTCGAGCAAGTGATCTGAAAAAAGGGACCGGGGAATTGATTATCTCGATAACATGAGAACTACTGAGATGAGAGATGTACCTGCAAGCTATGAACCCACCCAGACAGCCGGCTGCCTTGCTCAAAGTGCCTACACATAAGTCTACATCATTCTCACAGTTAAATGCCTCTGCAACTCCACCACCATTTTCTCCACAAACAAATGTCCCATGGGCCTGATAAAACAAAATTCATCCATTGATATCAAATTGCCACAGAAACCAGAAGTTGAGAAAAAGGGCATCAGAAACATTAGCCTTTAGAGGCCTTTTCAGATTTTTTTTACAGTCTTTAATCAATATAGAGGTGGGTTTGGATCCCTGAATATCAAACAGAACTTACATCATCAATGACTAGTAAAAACCCATGTTTCTTCCGAAGCCTAGAGAGCTCTGCCATTGGTGCAAAATCACCGTCCATACTAAATAAGCTGTGAGAAGGAAACATGAGATCGGCCCTAAAATTTTTAAGTCATTTTCCACAGACACATGCAGTCTCAGCCTTCAGCAGCCATGAAATGCAAAAATTGAACAGTATGCAAAATTTACAGCTTGAAATAAAATATTTACACGGATGGATAACAAGAGTGCTAATGCTTCTACCAGTAAAAAAGAGGGATATAGAGATGAAACTAGAACGAGTTAAAAATTTTCCAGGTTATTGCAACACAGTAATAGACAACAGAAGCAGAAAGTAGAGAATGATACTGACCTATCAGTGACCACAACCTTTTTCTTCATTTTGCAACTTGATCTGTCCAAAAGGAAGGATTGCGTATGAAATAAATACAGAGCAGAAAATAAAGAAGAAAACAGAAACATAAAATGGGTTGGGAGGAATGATGCACCTACAGTAATGAGCTAAGGTGAGGCATATCACAGTGTCGATAAACGAAAACTTCAACATTTCCTTGTCTTTCAGCAAGACGAATTCCATCGATTATTGAAGCGTGATTCAGTGCATCAGAAAAAATTGCGACTTTTTCATCCCCCAATGGTTTGCCACTGGGAGGCAAGAGTGAAGCAACACTTCCAATTGCCACCAACAATGCCATATTGGCTGCAAATCCAGTAGGACAAAGAAGGCAATCCTATAAACAAGTGAAGAAAAGAGTGCACATTATCAGGTTTCATCTAGACATATGCGAATTGTATACAAGTACAAGATTTTCAAGAGAGATCAATGATGTCAACCTAATATTATCTTCTTCTTGGGGAAGTGTTAATGTTTCGAAATCATACTATGACAGATACCTGATCTCTCTTGTTCTTAACAAGGGGAATGCATTCCCTACTTCTAGAGAAAAAATCCAATAACTGAATTCTAGTACACTCGAATTACTCTCAGTTAGCAGCTCTGTTTCCGTGTATGAGATAAATTGAACTTACATGACTAAAGAGTAAAGACATTATCTTTCCGCTCCATTTCAAATTCTTCAGGAAGTATTTACCTCCTTCTTCTTCAGCTCTGCCAAGCTGGACTCAAGCAAACGATGATAAGTGGTGTAGCCACATATTAAAGCAGAACCCCTTGGCCCCATCCCATGCTCCTGGGCTGCCTGCCGTAGAGAAACCAACATAAACACAGTTTGTAGTTCCACATTGGAGAATATCCATCTATACTCAACTCACTAACAAGTAAAAGAAGCTATACATTTGCAAGAGCATTAGCTATTGTGGGATGTGAGCTCAAACCCAAATAATCATTCCCTGAGAACAATAGCAGCTTCTTGAAGAGCCCTTTTCCACCATCGCCTAAAACACCTTGATCAAGAATCTCCTCTCCTATCATATACAAGATCAAAGAGTGATACTGAAACCCTTTTCTCTGATGATGGGCATTCAAAGAGATCAACCTTTTAACTTCTCTCTAACCAACTTTTTGTCTCAACTCTTTCAACCAATAATAAAAGATTAAACTTTGTCTCAATTCTACAACCTGAACTCCAATGCATCAGTAGCTTTATGTTGAAGCACAAAGCTTGAAAAAAGAATCGCAAAAAATTTTGGATTGAAACAGTAAATTTCACTGACCCAGAGAAACCCATAATTTCCCCCATGGCTACCGGCGTACAGATATTATAAAACCAAGCAAAAAAAATTGCTTTCTGCAAAATGTAAAAGAAGCAGATAACGACAAAAACTCCGCCTAACAGTGAGCTCACACAACTACTACTTCTGTAATAACTTCGTAAACTCCGAAACTACCTTATCTGAAGAAAATGGGGAGGAAGAAGGAAAACCGGTCAAGAAGGAAAGCAATTCCAATACGAATTTCTACTGCCACAACAACACCACCCAGCCTTTTGCGCATCTACTTCAATTGTCAACCTTAAATTCAAACGTCTTAGAGAATTGAGGAAATTTAAAAAAACAAAAATCCAACCGAAAATACAAGCTTTATGCTTGAGAAAACTCTACTTACCATTGCTGGGCACGTCGTGAAGCCATTTCTGAAACGTGGGTCTTGAGACAGACACTTCAACAGAAGCCCGATCCCATTGACACATTCCGTCGAACACTTCGTAGTCATCCCCTTCATTGCCTCTAGTTTCCACCCGTTCATCCTCATTTTGCTTAGCAAGAGATAAGGGTCTCAAAGATCGAAGTATTTTTCGGGATTCAAGCACTTGCACTGCCCTTTCCACCCATTTGTCCCACGAATTCTCTGCCATCGTCGGAGTTCACAAGAAACTTGATCGCAGAAATCGTACGGACAACAATGCTTTAGAGAAACTTTCAAAGAGAGCCTCCGAGGCAGGTGGGAGAGCAGAAGACTGAAAGTTCCTGCTGCTCGAGTAGTTCAACTACACTGACGTCTAGTATAAATCCTTCGTTAATTCCAGTTTGAAAATCTTGGTGTTTCTGTCCTCTTCTTCTACAATGCTTGCCGTTTTTGTACCATATAATCGTCGAGGTGTGTGAACTGGACAGGACTTTGCCACGTCACGTGAAATACTGACTCATCAAACGGTATGATGACATGGCAGAACAGAATGCCACATGTTCTCTTGGTGACCTCGTTTGCCAGGTCATCAACGGCAGTCGTGTTTTAGATTTAGTTACCACAATTCTTAAATTTAAAATACAACCATGCAAAAAAAAATGTATATGTATAATAAATAAATAACAACCATTTATTGAAAACTTTTAAAAAAACTTATAAAGTATGATTTTTTGCATTGAAAAATACGAAATCTAACCCAAAAAAATTTATAGCTTAATTTCATGTTTCTTTACATTAATCTATCAAGAAATAACTTTGAAATTAGATGATATGAAAATGGGATTTTAACAAATACTTGTTAACCACTAAAGACAAAATTTAAAAAGAAACTAGAAGACAGAGCTTGTCATGATGACCAAATCTAATAATTTTAATTCATAATAATATATATTATCAACCTTTGTCTAATATCTAATTGCTTATTGTTTTGTGTTTAGAATTGCATTAAGTTAAAGATAAATGGTTCGTAGTCAATCACTTGTCCCCAAAGGAAATTGGCAAAAGGGTGACAAATGGCCAGCACAGCTCCATCATTCATGCCCTTTTTTTTTATAATGCTCATACATATACATATACATATACATATACATATACATATACATATACATATACATATACATATACATGTATAATCTCAATGTGTGTGTAGATATGTATAATATTCAGAATAAGAATTAAATATTTTAAATACAAAAGGAAAGACAAAATTAATTATATAAGTTTATTTAAGGTTCTGTACAATAGAATGTGAAGTTCCGTTGCAGTTGGGAGGCTTAACAGCTGTTTATGTTTGACCATTAATTCTCATATAAACAAAAATAATTATGTTCATATTGCCGTTTTTTTTATAATTATTAATTTTCCAGTTCAACTCGACAACTGTAGACTCGGCTTTAATTCTTTATTTTATTTTAAGTTCATGGGAAAAATTAATTTATCCTTAATTTTTTTTTTATTTTTATTTCAGCACGGAAGTCTCGCAACTAAGATTTTAATATATATATATATAACATGAATTTTGATATTAAAAAATTGATTGTGATATAGGTAGAATCTTTACTCTAAATTAGAGAGGCTAAAAATATTAATATTCGGCATATGCATTTTCAATACATTTTCTTATAACCAGATATCATGAAATAATAACGTGTAAATATTTTAAGCGATAAAATTTTTTAATCTCTACAATGATTATATCTATACCGTATATATAGACCATCATAACAAGGAAGTAAGAAGGTAAAACGTCATTAGATTAAATCAGACTTCATCCATACTCCTCATTTAATATTAATATTAATAAATAATTTATATTATTATTGAAACTTCTTATGTTTTTTCTTTATTATTTTTTACAAGATATAAAAAAAACCCCACATAAGCCCACTAGCTATATATAGCTTCTCGACACCTCTAAACTCCAACACGAACTAAAAAAAAAAAAAAATCTTTGTTGCCCAGTTTTATATCACAAACAGACACAACACATGGAACATCATCCATCATCATCGTCATTGAAACTCCCGGTCTTCGACATCTCCAAGCCATTAAGCGATTCGTCTCTAACGTCTCTGAACGAAGCGTGTAGAGAATGGGGATTCTTCCACGTCAGCAACCACGGCGTGTCCAGCCACCTCTTCGAAAAACTCCGGCGACTTTCCGGCGACGTGTTCGGTCTCTCTTACGAGACGAAGATGAAGGTCGGACCGTGTTCTTTGTTGAACACTTACACTCCACATTTCATCGCATCTCCCTTCTTCGAGAGCCTTCGTGTCTCTGGTCCTGATTTCTTCTCCTCCGCCAATTCATCCATTGACGTTTTGTTCGACCAAACCCTGCATTCTGAATTCAGGTATGTACCCTCTTACGTATGTATATACATATATACACACATATATACATTATTTCGTGTATTTCATTTCCATGAATTAAGGGTCTCTCTTAAATGCAAGTTACATAAATTATGAATCCATGCTATTGAATTTGACTTCTATATGATTTTAGTTAATATTAATGAATCTCGTATATATGTTTTTTTTTTCGTTTAAACGTCCATTGTATATATAGTAGGAGATGAGCAGTTCAAGAATTAATTATAGGATTTCAATGTTTACAAAGCACCGTCTTCAAATTTGTGATCTGACTAACCATTGCTGCAGTCTTCGCATAGCTATTAGAAATTGAAATTATTATATAAAAAACGAACTAAATCTTTTTATTTTCTAGGATTACCATGTGGAAAAAAGGTAAAAAGTTATCTTATTTATAACATTGTATAATTATCTTAAATACGTTAAAATTTTGTATATAATTACTGTTTCAATGATCAATATCTGAAAACATTGTTCCATTCCACTTTTTAGACAATCGATATAGATGTTTTTTAAAAAAAAATTGTTATATGTAGATTTTGGTTGTTTTTTCTTTCTTTCAAATTTTACATATATATATATATATATATATCACTGAATTCCTCGACCCATTTCATATTGGATAAAATACCGTATTTTCGCAGCGAAATACTGAAAGAATACGGAGAAAAGATGACAGAATTATCAGAAAAAATCATCAAAGCAATCCTCGCAAGCTTCAAGAACGATCTGGACAAGAAATACTACGAATCAGAGTTCAAAAACTGCAATGGCTACTTCAGAATCAACAACTACACACATCCGACAACCACAGAAATCTTCCGACAAGATCACCATCATCATCGAGACGAAGACGAAGGAGAGGAAGAAGGGCTTGGAATGCATACGGACATGAGCTGCATCACGATCGTGAACCAGGACGAGGTAGGAGGGCTGCAAGTCAGATCCAACGGTGGAGATTGGTTCGACATAAACCCTAACGCCGATACTTTGGTCGTCAACGTCGGAGACTTGTTGCATGCATGGAGCGACGGACGGCTGAGATCGTCTCAGCACAGGGTGGTCATGAACCGACGCAGTTTCACGAACAGATTCTCCGTGGCGTTCTTCTGGTGCTTCGCCGATGAAAAAGTCGTTTATGCCCCTGATGACGTGGCGGGTGTGAGGGTGTTTCGGTCATTTACGTGTGGGGATTATTTGAGGTTTAGGGAGAGTAACGAGAAAGGGAAGTTCGAGAAGGTTGGGTACACTGTCAAAGACTTCGCAGGACTTGACGGCGGAACTTGAGATTATTTTTTATTTTTATTTTTTGTAAATTTGGTTTTACTAATCAAATAATAATTTTGTTTTTTTTTTTTTGCAAAAAAAGACTTTTTCAAGCGGTGTGGTCTCTTTGTTTCCGCAAAAGATTTGGATTTTCTTAATATAATGTCCTTTATTAGACATTGTTTTTTTAGTTCAATTAAATTTTCATCTCATTATATAATTTCCATTTTATTATATTTTTTCTTCTAATATTGGACCTTTTTAATTTTTAATTTTTTTGTTTGTTATCGTATATTAACTCGATTATTATTCCGTTTATAGAAAATTATTCCAGTTTTGATATTTTTTCTCATCTAAAAACAGTAATAAGCATAACAGTGATGTTTATTTTATTTTATTAATTGTGAAACTTTCTAGTTATAAGAGGAAAAGAACTGTATTACAAAAACAATTTAGATATTTTTGAGGAGTTTGTTGGATTGGATTTCTATTTCAATTTACGGCTGAGAAATAAGAAATATGATTCATATTCCAATGTTAAGACCCTGCCATAAGTTCATGACATCTAAATCGTAGAAACAATTACCCATGGACCAATATTTATTATTAGGGACACTTGTCTAACTATAGTTTGGTTCCATGAAATTTATTTACTATTTCACATAATTAAATTTAATGTGTTATAATATATGATTTAATGCTGTTAGTCTATATTTATTCATGTATACATTTAATTTTGAAAAATGCATTATGAATATACTATATTAGAAACGTTTTTTTTTAAAGTTTTTTCATTAGAAAGAGAGGGTGTATATGTATAATATTACAAAATTAAGTAATTAGGATTTTGTGGAACACCACAAAGTGACGTTAACCAATGAATTAAGACTTAAAACAAAGAGCTTGAATTATTGAAAAAGGGCGGCTTGTCGGAATGGTGCACGTTTGGGGGACCATATACATATATATATATTTATATATATATCGTCAATTCCTTATTTAATTACGGGAGTTTATGTTAATTAGCCGGTGATAAGTTATCTAATTTTATGATCAACTACTATGCATAGATAAAACCAATAAATTATGAAGTAGTTAAATTATTTTATTGAAATCTTTTTAGTGGTTTATTCCAATTCATATTATTTTTTTTCAAAACTATTTGTCGTCGTCTAATATTTTGTTATTGATTCTTTTTACACTTTACTTTTTCTCAAAATATATTATAATATCTTAATGTTAATTTTCATAATGTTGAAAGATGATAAGACTGAAGACTTTAATTTTAATCGAGTAATGTATATTATTTTTAGGCTTTAACTTCTCCAATACATGACGCTTTAGCTAAATGGTTAAGCATTTTCCCCTACTCCTGATGGTCGCGTGTTCGATATTACCCCATTTCTCTCCTTCTTGAAACCCTAATTTTTCCCCCAATTTCCTTTTTCCGTTTTCTTCTCCGGCGACACCTGCAACTGCGACCGCCATGGATGCAGGCTCCTCTACTTCCAAGAAACCGAAGGTGTCTTCCTGATCCGTCTCTTTCGTCCTTCGATTTCCCTCTCAAGATTCGTATCTCTACCAAAATTCTCTCGCGAAAAGATCGTTGTTTGTTCTCTAACTTTTTTTTTTCCGTCCGTTTCCTTCTCGGCAGCGAAAATTCGCTCCAAGAGCTCCGCCTCCCCGACGGCCGACCGTTCCGCCTCCGACGGCGTAATGTTTCTCGCTCCGTTTTCAAAGACGATCGTCTGTTCATATGAATACACGTGTATTCATATATGTATCTTTATAACCATGGATAAAGCTTAAAAGATTATGGATTCCTTGTCGAACGCAGGGATGCTGATGGCGAGGAGAAAACAGCACAGATGATCGCCAGTAGTTACGCCGTACGTATCAACTGTTTTTTTTTTTCCATATATTTGATCTGATTTACTGCTTGGGTTTCCAATATTTTAATCAATTAACGGGTAATTTGGTATTGCATAGTTAACGGGTAATTTGGAGCTGTTGTTCTTTAGATTCTATTTTTGGTTTAGGATAGGTTTGATTATTTTCGGATTTTGTTCTTTTGGGAAAATTATATTTTCATTTTTTTATTAAAAGATATTATTTCAAAAAGATTTTTTGTTTGGTTTTTCTGTTATTTTTTTGTAGTCAATCTGAATTGGTCTAATTTAGTTTAAAGTGAATTGGGTTTATATATATATATATATATATCGAATATACAATTCATATTAAATAGGTTTTATATTTCAGAACAAAATGCGCACTGGATTCAGTGGTGCTAAATTTAGTTTGAAGTGAATGTGTTTCTTGTTTTTTGCAATAAATTTCCTTTGGTTAAAGCTGTCTAGAATCACGATCTTTATTTGCTGAACAATGAGACAGGGATATACTTGCTTGATGCTGGAGCTGATATTTTGTGTTCATCTTTCAGATTGGCCGAGTAAAACCCAAACCCGAAAAGAAGGGTAACGTTCTCAAGTACTCATGCTTTCACATTCTTGGTTCTCTTCCATGGCAAAAAAGCTCAAATATTGCAGTCTACGTGGATCGTAATGATGTGGTATAGCTTCTGTAAAAAAAAAAAGTTTCGATCTCTGCAGCTTCTGCTGAAGTTGCTTTCCAACCAACATCGGCATCTCTCCCCATAGCACCGGCTGCTGTTCCTGAAGATGTCGGTAAATGCAGTGATCCGGACCTAAAATCATCTCCTCCTGCTGATGTGCTTGCCACTGTCTCTTCTGCTGCTAACCAAAAGGATGGAGAGGAGGAGACAATTACTGTGGATGATGGTGATGCTTTATTAGTTCCGGAAGCCGAGATAGATTACGTTGAACCTTGGGTAAAACTCGAAGCCTTCACTTGGATATCCCTCTTCTATCTTTGTAGATCTATCGGGTGGTACTAACACTTGATGTGCAGGATCCTCGCAATCCCTACAGTCCTATCACTCTTCCTTTGAGAAAGCCTTCCTCTGGACATCAAGGTAAAATCTTGATATCTTTACAACAGAGATCTTTATGTTTTGCGATATTTCTTACCTTTCTATCAACTGAAAGCCCGTTCCTTTGCGTTTTTCAGAACTTCGTGATAAGGAGGGATCCGGAGTTGTTGCAAGATATCCTGTTACTGACGAGAGCACCCTCAACTCAGCGGAGAAACTTGGGCTGACATTGGTAATTGATTCGTCAATGAAAGTCACAATCTTTACTCTGCTTTTTCGAGTTTTGGAAAATTCTGGTGTGCTGCAGGAGGAGGAAAACGGAAAACGAAAGATGATTTTCTTCCAGCTTCCGGGTCCTCTCCCCGTGAAGAAGGAGTTGGCAGATGCAAACAGCGAAGAAGATAACACGCAGAGAAGAAGCGCCTTTGATGGGTTGAAAGAGGGATTCATGGGCAAAATGTGTGTTTACAAGAGCGGGGCTGTCAAGTTGAAGCTTGGAGATATCCTCTATGATGTAAGTAGTGTTATATTATAAAAAAAACTTCAATATCTGACAGGTATAACTCCAATGGAACAAGCCCGCCCCATATTTGGTTCTGTCCTTAAGCACAGATGTTTTCTTTTCGTCAACTAAAAAAAAACTTTTTTTTACAGAAAAGATATTGATATAACTGCATATGCAGGTCTCACCAGGTCCAGACACTTTCTTCGCTGATACTGTCGCAGCAATAAACACGAGGAAACGAGAATTCGGTAATCTTGGGTCCACCGAGAAAATGGCTACCGTTACTCCCGACATCGTTGCTCTTCTGAACTCTGAAGCAGACGTGGAAGCCCGGAGAGAGCGATGAAGAAGCTAGTTGCTGTCCATATAGGCTCTGTTAAGTAGAAACCTTTGTCCCAACCATGGTGTCATATAATCCTTTGGCATTCTTAGATTAGATGTATCCCCGATGAATCCGTACACTCTCTGTGAGTCGGCTGTCTTGTAGCGAGCTTGTCTCTGTCTCTAGTTGTTAGAATCTAAGGATTTCTGGACAAAGAGAAGAGAGCCGGGAAATGGTATGAAAGCGAGGGTGGGTGCGGGTTGGGTATCCGGATCTTTGGTATTCGGTCTCGATCCTCGTCTACATATTTTTTTAGGGTTTTAGTTTTGTATCCGGAGCAAGGGTATATCGATAATTTTACATGAGTATGAAAATAGATTTGAATAGTATTAAATGAATACATTAAACTATAATTGCCCAATCTGTCTGTCACCTAAAAAAGCATCTAACGTATAACAGTTTGCCACGTCATCAGAGTTCTTTGTTGTGGACCCCACTTCAGAATATTCGGATCCTCTCGTTTAATTTCCTCCCAGATCCTAACCCAAAAAAAAGGAACGGGAGTCTGTTTCTTTTTTTGGTATAATAATATATTTTTTTTTCCTCGAACTGGCTTTCGGTACAAGTAACCGGCCTCTCTGCCCTAAGCCGTCTTCTTCCTCCATCGCGGAAAAGGAACAGTACCTTTCTCCGATTACTTTCTTTCTCGATTCAGAGGACACAGTAAAGCGGGGGAAGGTTTTACTGTCTCTAGGGTTTTCCTCTGCCATTCCGTGTTCCATAATCCTATCTGATAGATTCCTTTTTGCCTTTTTTTTTTCTCCTTTTGATTTCCTTCTTGTCTTTTTTCTTCGGAATTTGCTTTTCTCCTGATTCGATACCATTGGGTTAATCCAATTTGTTGGAAATTTCACGTTTTTTCCGAGAGTTCCATTTCGTTTTGATTGGATTCCTGAAGACCCAATTGATCAACTTTGTTTTCCTTTTTTGGGGTTATTCGATTCGGTTCTGGTGGTATCGCGCCGATGAGGATTTTGGGGATTTTCCTTCTCTCTCCATTGTTTTCCCTTGCGTTTTCTGAACAACCATTCAACTCGCTCCTCTTGCCGGCGATCATCGAGACCCGGATCAACGAACTCGATGATGAGACCAATTTGCATTGCACGAGCTGGAGATTCGCGGCCGAAACGAACAATCTCGCGCCGTGGAAAGCAGTTCCTGCAGAGTGCGCCGATTACGTAAAGGATTACATGGTGGAGAGGGCTTACGTCATCGACCTTGAGAAGGTCTCAGACGAGGCTGAGGTTTACGCAAGCAGCGTCGAATTGAGCGGCGACGGGAAGGATATTTGGGTTTTCGACATTGATGAGACCCTCTTGTCGAATCTCCCATATTACATCGAACACGGTTATGGGTACAGTTCAGAATTCTCCTTTTCTAACGTTTTGTTCTGTGGTCTTGGACTTTTTCTGATTTCTGGAGGGAAGTGTGAAGATGAATCATGAAAGTGAATGCAATGGGTCTTAACGCTTTCCTCCATTTGTGACATAGGGAGTTTATGTATGGTTTGTATGAATTCGTATTGAGTTTTTGTCTTTGGGGGAATTTTCAGGGCGGAAGTTTTTGATCACTTGGAGTTCGACAAGTGGGTGGAGAAGGGGAGAGCACCTGCCATAGAAGCAAGCTTGAAGCTCTACCAAAAGGTTAGAGATTTGGGTTACAAAGTTTTCTTGCTTACAGGACGCAGTGAAAGTCACAGGCTTGTCACTGTCGAAAACTTGATCAATGCTGGGTTTCAGAACTGGGACAAGCTTATTTTGAGGTGAGCAGCATTTTCAATTATATACATTCTGCGGTTCTTGTGTGTGAACCTACCAATTTCTGCGACATGCCCACTTCTGCAAATTCATTGAAAATGTCTGAAACTTGGGCATTCTCTTCTTTGTACAAGAGGCCATTACTTTGCTTCTATCTCAGGTCATTGCCAATGCAGTCTTGCCTTGACTTTTACCTCTTCGGGCTTTCATCCTTTTTTTTTTTTTTGTTCTTTTCCGGCTTGTTAATGCACAGATCTTCAGAAGATAAATGGAAAACAGCGACTGAATATAAGTCAGAGAAGAGGGAAGGGATGGTGGATGATGGGTATAAAATCAGAGGCAATTCAGGTGATCAGTGGAGTGACCTGTTGGGTTCCTCCATGTCAGAACGATCCTTCAAACTCCCAAATCCGATGTATTACATCCCCTAAACCTATAGGCTATTGCCCTAATTGTGCTCTCATTTGCTTGTCCGAAGTTTATGAGACAACTTTAGCAGAGCAGTCAAGTGTAATTACTTGCAATACAAGTAAACGATTAGTGCAACAGCTCCATTCCATTCCGAGGCCTGTTTCCTATGAAATAGTGCAGATGTTTTATCCTTTTTTTTGTGTCAGCTAACTGTCTCATACAGAAATATTATCATCCGAGAAACTTATTTTAATTAAAACTTCAGAGCCATGCTTCTATGATCAATTAGTGGCACAAAAATCAAAGAACAGGAAATTTTAAAGATAATCAAGAACAGCAAATCAACATCTTCAGAAGCCTTTGAGAATCAAGAAATTCTAAAGACAATAAGATCACCGCTTAGACCCTCCATCTGAGCCAGAGGTCTTGTTCTCCAGCGAGGTGAACAGGAAATTCCCGGAAAACATGGACTGTTTATCTGTGTACCAGTGGCATGCTTCATTAGATTTACTAAACTAAACATTCACTCAACTATTTGTATGTTCAAACTTCAAATCGACAACAAAGAAGTTGGGGGCATTGTTGTAACTATACAAGAAACAAAACCTTATAGGACATGGAGGTTAGAAAGCACCTGTTAAGGATAGGCAACTAACTTCTCTGCGAACATATCTTGTCATTGCCTGAAAATACGTAAAGAATATCCTGAGCAACTGGGTAATGAAGACTATGTTGTTTGTGTGTGTGTATGAGAAAGAGAGAGAGAGAGAGAGAGAGAGAGAGAGAGAGAGGAATTCATAAACAGTCCATGCCTGCACTGCCTTTACTGCTGCATCATCAGGCTTTGACGTGCCATCATCACAAAACACGTTCCTACAAGTTCAGATTCCAAATCAGCTTCTGAGATGATAAATTCATCATTTATGGCTAACATCATGTACACATATCCTCAAATGGTTCTTTGCGCTCCATTTTGCAGAGTGCAATCTCCTCTGAAGTTCAGTATAAACAATGCATAAACCACCACATGGCAGAAGATTTACCTCCATAATTTAGTTTGAAGTTCATCTGGCTTCGCTTCTAGAAGCATGGCCGCATCATAGGCAACAACATTTCCATAAAATATTCTCTCCAATTCCTTCATCCACTTTGACAGTAGCAAATTGACCTGTCGTACCATGGGATTTTAATAACTAAACAACGAAGAGAGTAGCCGGAAAAAAATTTGACAAACAATCACGAGGAACTGTTGTGAAGAAGCTTGGATCTGATGTTCAGTGCAAAGATCTTAGTTTAGGAATCAAATTATAGAACACTAAATGAATGGATGTCTCAATTATTGGAATGCTATGAAGAGAAGTCTAAATCTTGAAAACCACAGTAAAGTAAACTGGAAATAAGTTTATTACATACCCCAGCTTTAGATACTCTGAGCTCAACATCATGATTGTAGATCTCATATAAGTATTGACCAAGTTCAACTCCTTCCTTCCCCTCTTCCTTGAGGCGGCGTAAGACGAGCCACATATGAAGCACAAGCAACGAGAACGTTATTTTGAACGTTTTCTCCAAGTTGAAGACTGCAGAAGAGAGAACCACCAGAAGGGTAAAAACAAAACATATGAGCAAACATCATACCTGTTCACATCAAGATTCAAGAGAAATCCACATCTCTTCAGTCTGAACCATGACTTTGTATTGGAAAAGAGAAGAAAAAAAATACCTTCATACATCGGAGGTTTGTCAACTTGTGAGAGAATTCGCTTGTATATCACATTTGCCCCACGGATAGACATGCTCTGCTTGCTATAGAACAGAAGCAGCTTGAGTACAAATCGACGGACCCCTTCATAGTTAGGTTCATCAATTCTACGAGGGGAATCTTTGGGTAAAGCCAATGAAGATGGCTTCAACCAAAACATCTTATCCAAATTTACCTGAAAACCACAGCAACGACTTTACTCTCAGACAACCCAACCCATATACAAGGAATACCAACCAAACAGAAACAAGGTATCCTAACCGAAAAAGGAACTGGATCTAAAAGTTCATCTTCATTGTAAATGACAACAAGACAACTGAATGAGCACACAAGGAAACAAACCTGAATAAAGAAATTGGAAAACAATCGCTATAATTCGATTACACAGCACATCAAAACAATGTAGCAAGTTGAAATGATGCCTGAAATGTAATCCTACTAAACTAGAAACAGCAGGCAGAAAGAAATGCACACTACAGCATACTGCCCTCTTTGGATTTAACCCATGATTCCATACTATGTGACCTTACAATCCATAACCAAGTCTGTGTTCAGCCAAAAAATCCCACTCTTTATGCGAAGACTTCAAATTCAGATGAAAGAGAATGATCGATTGCTCAATTCGCGACCTTAGACTCCAAAAGTTTCAACTGGGAACGAACAAAATCCGTATAAGAAAACGAATTTCGATCATACCGGAGATTTGCTCGGAAAGTCCTTCTGCGGCGAATCATCGGTCACCGGAGCTACCGTCGCGTACCCATTACGGGAGACGCCAGAGAGATTGTTCATCAACCCATTTCCACCCAAAGATCGAAGCTTTGATGCGTGGGCGACGGATCTCGTCAATCTAGGCAGCATCCCACCGAGTTCTTCGCTTGACCCAGTAATCAAAACGAATCAAACACGATGAAAATCGATCGGAGAATAAAATTAGCTCGATCAATACGCTAAAACCCTAGGCTTAAACCTCTTCTCCGATCCCTAGCGATGGGCTATGTCTCGTCCACGTTAGTCACCTATTCTGCCGTCAGATCATGACGTCGTCCTTTAAAGAGTTTTTACTTCAAGCCTGCCATTTTCTTTAGTTGCGCAGAGTTGGACATTTTCTCTCTCAATTGTAACCTTATTTTTTTGTTTTATAACTATTGCATAATTCCATTGTGTATACTGGCCCAAAATGGAAAACAAAATTTGTAACACCAGAAATGGTTACAATTTTGTGTAAATATAAATATAATTATATATATAGAAAAGGAGCAGGAGACCACACAATGTAGAAGTAGAACCATTCTCTCTCCGTTACAGGAGCTCAACAGCTGTTCCTCCTAAAAAAACCCTAAAACCTTAGGCAGATGTTCTATCTTACAACATTAGAAACAAAACTGGGATCAACCCTTTGTAGCAGGCAGCAGCATCAGAGGTACTGCCTCAGGCTTTCTCCACTCATTTCTTCCATCTGCTTTAGAATGTCTTGTGCCAGAGATTTAACCGAGAGTTCAACGTCTTCGAGCAGTTCGCCGAGGAACGGTATAGTTTCCGCGAGGAACACCATATATTCTTCCTTCAGATTGTCTAAGAACTGTTTGACGGTTCTCAGGCCTAATATCCGGGCTCGTAGCTTCTCACTCCGGGTTTGCATCAACACCTGACAACAATTTCAGACATCAAGAAGCAGTAATGGCACGAATTTACAGATCGGGAATGAGTTGCTCCCTTGAGAAATACTTGGAGCAAATGCTAGAATTGATGTCACAACATTGATAATCAGAAGCTAATATGTTGTACATATTCTCCCAGGGTCTAGCCACAGATTTGTAATCTTAATGCAAAAGCTGAAGATAAAGACATTCAGCAGTTTCTAATATGTACCTCGTGGTTCAGCGGTTTCCAGAGAAGGTCAGACCCAGCTGCCACGGCCATTTGACCAATGCAAGAAACCAGTAGTTCATCAACCTCCAGTACTGATGGTGCATATGGATAGTCGTCCAAAGAAGCTGGCGGCTCTACAACAATTTGTGATACAATAGGTTTTAGTAGCACCTGCAAATGTAGAAAAACGAAACCTATGAAACCATTGGCCATTATACTTGCTTGGCTGTGGTTCTCCATCATTTTCTTTTTGTCAATTGAATGACAGACATGTAAATGAATAAAAAGTCAAACGATACGAAGATGAATGTTTGGCCCACGAAAAGATGATATAGATCAATGACCTGAAAGTTATTTGAGTCTAGAAACTTCACACTTCCTGTATCATACAGAAAGCAGTTCTTCAAGGAAGACAACACTAACGCTCTAAGATGCCAGCTTTTAGGTGGTATAGCATCACCGGCTTCCTGAATCTTGGCCTTCTTTTTCTTCCTAGATGAAATTGAAGCTTCCATGCTAGTGAGATGTGATACAATACCATCGAGTAAGTATTTGAAGTATGGGACAAAGAGGGACCTGCAGTTCATAGTAACAGAAATTGATGTTATTTCTCAATCATACAGCCTCTCCAAGAAAGAAAATCTTTATATAAGGAAGTCCGTTTATTCATTAAATGAACAGATCACAATAGACATGTTACCAACCAAAAGCTATAGAATATCAAAATCAAAGGTTGATTCACTCACCGGTGGCTCTCAGAAAGTTGATTAACAAAGCCATAGAAAGATATAGCTCTGTCTATGCTTTTGCTTTCACCGCCTGACATGTTTTCAACATCTGACTCTGCCCATTCTATACTCCTGATGAAGAGGGGTTTGAACATGGACTCAGTTAGCTTCTTCGTGAGAGCAATGATTGCATTGATTATGCTTCTCTCAACAACGTCGATGTTTTGAACTGATGCTGGATTTTGACGCCGGATATCAAGGGCGAGCAAGCATTGGTCGAAAATCTTCCCATGGTACCCACCAATAGATGACTTATCCATTTTTACAACCAAGTTTGCCAGAATTTCAAAAGCAATCACCAAGCTTCGATCCCCAGAATAAACGGCCTCATCATATATCTTCAGAAGTGGTTGCAGAGTGAGACGGACCTGGGAAGCAAAAGAAAATTCAAGGTCACATCTTTGGATAATGACAACAGTATTAACAGAATCAGATTCACAAATGCATTTTAAGAACTCACTGGTATTTTTTCGGTTATGAGCTCACGGATGGCATCGGCTTTGAACTTGAACTTCTGGTTAAGTTCAGAAACAAATTCAGGACGCAAAACCACAAGTTTAACTATATCTCCAAGATAAGGATTGAGGAAACCTCCAAGTTTATCAACCACTGCTTCCAGAGTGACCAGAATAGACAGCAGAAGAGACTCTTCTTCAATTCTTGTGCTACCATTATTCCTAGACACCGATGACACTTCATGCGATATTTTTATCAAATTCCTCATTATGCGTGGAAGTTCAGGCAGTGCCTTTGGTCCAAGAACATTGACAAATGATGCAGTTGTATGAAGGCAGTTTGAAGACACTCCCACATTCTTTGAACTAATGCCTTTTGCAACAGATCTAAGGCATTTGCTGAAAATTGGATGACCGGATGGAAACCTGTTAGCCAAAACTTCCAGCGTAGAAACAGCAGTTTGTTTAGCTGGAGCACCCAACTCATCATCGGTATGATCGATTTGATGAACAATTTCCTCGCACATCTTTCCAAAGGATTCAGTGGCAACCTCATCCAGATTCAACCAAGGGTTTTTTCTCTTTGGATTGACGACTCTTCTCATATTGTGTTTCACTTTAGACGAATTGGTGTCCTTAGCAGTCTCACTTAAAAGGCCAAGTACCTGAATACAAGTGTAGAAGCAAGTTTGAATGAGATATACACCCATTTTTGTAGAGATAGTCATGGGACTATATCAACCTTAATCAGCTAAGGAACAAAATCTGCTATTAAGAAGAAAAAAAACTCAATAAACCAAAGCAAGTTCAGCCAGTTATGATCAATATTGTTATGTTATCACACGAGGGATGCAATAAGCTAGATGATAATAAAACTACCTTCTTTGTTACATTACTGTCCGATTGCTGAAGCAAGCTAGTAATTCCTTTGAAATATACAGAAGGATCCATGGCTGCTGTGGTAGTCATCAAGACTGCATGTGCACGAATCCTGAGATCTTTCCTAACTCCAGGAGATACATCCATTCCCTTTGGAGCTGCATCGATGGCTTGCAAGAGAAATATACAACCCTTCATAAGCTCCAGTAGTTTTTGCTGAAAGAAATTCAACAATATTCAAGTTAACAAAGGGAGAATAACTGCCTGCTGCAAACACGTGGCTGTGAAACTACGTTCAAGCACAGACAGAAAATATTTGATTAAACCGCAGACACACATAATAATGTCTTTCATGTCCATGGCCCATCAACAGAGAGTGTGCACAGAAAAAACTGGACATAAACAAGCAGTTTAAGAATATCAATAATTGACACATATGATGCATTGCATGTGTTTTGTGTTAAAGCACGTCAGTTTGCAAATAAAGCAAAGTATCTTAGATATTCATAGGTCAAAAAACATAGAAAGACATGCATTACGAATAAGTACAAAAATTTAATTAACTATGAGATGCATCAAAGAAAATGGAAGTAAGCTTGAGTACCTGAATGCCATCGGAGACATCATTTCTTGGTTCATGTGCAACTAGAAATGCAAACTCTGGGTCTTGCAATTTCTGAAATACAAATTCTAAAACGAGTAACAGCTCACTGACAAACTCTCCACTCGGATTGTGTTTGTTAATATTTTCAAGAAGCACAACCAGGGACGAGAGCCATGTGATAGAGGAATATTTTTCACATATTTTCACTGCAAAAGCATACTCCCATTCCCTCATGGCAAGGGGCGTAAAACTTTCAGAAGTCCGAGCATCATCAAACCAAGATGAGTCCTGCCTTGAGACTAAGGATCGGAATAATAAAACAAGCAAAGAAGGCAAGCCTTTTTGCTCACCGATAATTCTGCAGAAAATAAGGGAGCTTACTTGAGTAACTCAAAGAAGGAAGAACAAAGAATATCTAACTGTGGAATTTAGTGTCTAACATTACCCCAACAGATACGTAACAATGGATAGCCTTCTGTGCTCAGTAACATCAGGTAATACCTTCACAAAAATCTGAAACCAAAGTTCAACACAAGAAATGTAAATCCAAGATAATTAAACTATATTTAGCATGTGACATGGGGAAAAGGAAGCACCAGGCGAAAATTACCTGAAGCAACTGCTCCTCACTGTTAGTTTTCGATAGCCAAAATGGAACCACTGATGATATGAATTCCTCGAAGACAGACTTGGAGTGGCTATCAATCTATAGATTAGTAGGTAACCAACAGTCAAAAAATATAAACTGGATAAAAACCGAAAAACATGATACATTTCACAAAGATAATCCAGAATTCCAAAGCCACCAAAATAACAGAAGTTGAAACAAACAGTAAAGAGATTCTGAGGATAAACTAACAAACCTGAGTCACGGTTGATTCACCAACAAGTGTCAATATGCTAATAATATGATCCAAAATCTTGTCAGGAACCACTTTGACAATTGAGGTGAACAGAGAGAAGACATAGTTCCGGGTGACCCCATCATTTGATGAATGAGCCAACTCAACCAGCATGTTGACATTGATTTCAGTTGCTAGGTCAGCCTGACATCAGACAGAATTAAACAGAAGAACGCAAGCAGCCCTGTAATCCAAATCAACTAAACTATAAAACATACCTTTAAAGGAGTAAAATCCATCAGTGAATCACAAATATTTTTAAGAATTAAGAGCACTGTGTGTTGGATTGAAGAAATTGAGCTATGAATTGTTTGAAGAACATCTTGTGAAGATTGGACAGAAGCTTCCTCTGAGGAAGGAGCAATCTTCACCCACTCATGCGTCATCGATCTTCCTAGAAGTTTAAGCAAGGGCCTTATAAGGGACTCCCTGAACACAGAAATTCATTAGAAAGTCAATTTGGCTGCAAAAGTAACATGGGCTTCAAAAATATATAGTCCACATGCATATGTAAGCATAATCAACTGCTAAGAGACCTGTGTCTCAGATCCTTTTTAAGGAGAAGCACGTCAAGTAATGAGGCAACGAAACAGAGAGCCTTCTCGCCCGATTGAAGTACAGCATTGTTCACATCATCTTCTATACATGAAGCTGAATTCTTCTTCTGTTTCTTCTTTTCTCTCAAAGAACAAAATGCAAGAGTTTCCAGATGAATTACAGGATCAAGGGTACGGACTACTGTCGAACAAGAAATCTGCAAGAACATTAACAGATACCATGAAATTGAAGCCGACTACTATGAACAAGGAAACTCTGAAATAAAATGATGTATACTTCATAATGTTTTCGATACCCGAAACAAACATAAAGTGTATCATATAATCCTTTCAATTAAGAGAAAGGACAGAGATTAAAAGCAAGGAAAAAGGCTAAAGAGAGAAAGCAAATCAACAAACCTCCAAGCGCAAAACAGCATCTTTAACTGCATTTTGAATATTGCCATTTGCACTCCGAAACAGAGACACCATCTTATGGAAGAAACGATCCTGATCCAGAAACCAAAATCAGAAAATTCTACAAAACCTAGATGGTCAAGGAGATCATCTTTTGGTTTGCGTATTATACGAGATCGAGATAAAATATGTAGAAATTCGGCAGGATAAGGATATTTTCATATTTATAACCCATTATCAGGTTAAGACTGACCTGGATCTTAGCCTTCAGTTGAACATAAAATTGACTATTTAGTTTATCCAAAACAGTAAGACAAGGAAACATGACAGCAGGATCTTCTGGTGACTTGCAATCAATCTGCAAAAGTAAATATCCTAAACTGAAGCCGGAAATGCCTGCCAGAAAGCAAATAAAGAAAACATATACAAAACAATTCTTACTTGTAAAGCATTCAATATATGATCATCAAGAGAATGGCCTTCAGAGGCTGGGGAAGGCATGATGGCGCACTGAGGGAAGCAGAAGATTGACGTAAAAAACCAGCACAAGGTAACACATAAAATTTTCATTGAGAAAGAAAAGGGAAATGCATTTACCTCCAGAAGAAGGCACAATATCTTGACCTCATAGTCTGACAGTTGCTGGCATGTTTCATCCAATTTGAAATAATATCGAGTGCGTCTGTCTAGAAGTTGAGACAACAACGAGACAAGATTTTTATCATGCAGCAGTATGACTCCCAGACCTTTTAACAACATCATGATCCTTAGCTGTCCAAGAAGCACAAAGATAGAGCCTTCAATTCTTTCCCAAAAACCAGCTCCACAAACCAGAAGAAAAACAAAAACAATACTTTGACACAACATCTTTGCTCCACAATGAAGTACCAAATGAAATTTACTTTACATGTAAAAGGAAAGAGAAAACCAAGATAGATTGAAGATAGGTGGAAAAACAAACCTTCCCATAAGCAGGAAGCTCTTGAGTGCGCAACAAGATGAATGATATGATTTTTTCTTTTGTCGATTGATCAAACCTGAGGTTTAAAAACAGATGAAAAGAATTCAGTGTGTTTCAAAACAACTACAATGTGATCTTGTGATGGAATATGATTCATCGGACTTCTTAATGCAGAAGCAACAAGGGAAACAATAATAGTATTTGATATGATGGACCAAGACATGCAACCGGTACACACATCACAATGAGAGTAAAACGTCTTCCCAAAATGGGTTATAGCTAATAGCTACAGGCTGTATTCTGTTGATGTAGAACTCAATTCACTCCCAAAATCTAGCTTATAGGGGGGGGGATGACTAAGGGCCTTACAGGGCCAGCCCGCATCAAGTCCTCTTTTAACCAATGTGGGACTCCCCAAATTCATTGGTTTGTTAGTCCTAACATCTGTCAGAATAGTTATTGTCGTGGAAAGATCGCAGAATTGAGAATATATAACATAATCACAACTTTACTATAGATGGATACTTCATACAAATGATAACCAGCCGAATACCTCTTTTGCAGGTCCACAGGCACCAGAAGATTATCCGATGTTGAGCTAAGTAGTGATGTCAAGATAGATGGAAGAAAGTTATTGTCTGATAAAATAAGCCTCCTTTGTTGAACAATCAATCCCAAGAGTTCATCATAGAAGCCACTGCAGACTGCAGCATTTCCTGTTTTGATATTTTAAAACTGATGTTAGAACAGGTATAGGAATATGCTGCAATTCGAAGGGGTGCGGCCACACAGTACCATTTTTCTTGCTAGAGAAGTCAACACGACACCATAGGTGGTAGAGAGCTTCAATGCAATTCATGGCAGCAACTTTGATGTCCTAAGGAAATGAAAGTGTGCTCAGACAGCAGTAAAGCAGTCTAAATAGGAGTACACTGTCAGAACAATACGACCTAATAAAAGAGATCTCAAGGTTTCACCTGATTATCACTGGATAAGGGAATCAAAAGTACAGGAAAGCTGGGGAAAAGGTAAGTCAACCATTCACTAGATCCATTGGAGCAAAGATGCAAAAAACATTTGAGACTTTCAATTTGAACCTCAGCAGGGACATCTGCAAGATGAATGCCACAATACAAGACACTGTTAGTGAAAATAACAAAACATCAGAGAACTAAAAGAATAGAAAGTGCTAATACAAACCTTCACGTGAAACAAGCCCGGTTAGAAAATAAACAGGGCAGACTTTGGCTCCATTCACGCGATATTGAAGGTGTTCCTTAAAAACATGCCTTGCTCGGGCAGTAGCAAAGAAGTAAAACAAATCTTCAAGTCCACGAACCAACCTTCTGCTACTTACCTAAATGAAGGGAAAAAATAGCATATACAGGTCAAATAACAATACAAGAAAGTAATGCAGTGTCATCAGAGCAATACTCAATATAAACAGAAATTTAGAAGTTCAAGGAAATATCACTTACCGAAAAGGCATTTACTGGTTCCAGTTTAATGAATGACTCAAGAAACTTCCAATACAAGCAGTTCAAAAGCTTCGAATTCAGTGAAGCTATATCAGCATCAATAAGTTGATATAAGAGTTCCTGGCAGTTGCTTTTCGACAGCTGCAAGTAGACAGACAGATACATTGAATCAATATGAATAATAAGCATAAGTCATGAAATATGAATACACTCAAGTGCATCAGCAAATTGTTCAGTATACCTCTTTCAAGGAAACATCAACCGCAACCTCAAGATCTTCCCATTCAGACTTCAGAACCGGAAAGGTAACTTCAAATAGATCCAATATTTGACTAGAATCTACAGAGAAATAAGATACAACACTCAGCATCACATCTTACGAGCTTGCATCAGGATAACGGAAGCTCGCAGGAAAACAAACTCATAAAATATATAAACAAGATGCATCCAAACCTATACACAAACCTAGTCGCTCCCTACCAAAATAAATGAATAGCAAGAAAATCTATCAGCGCCCTATTAGATTCAAACCACATCCCCAAAATCATACTTGTTCAGTTAGATTCCTAATCACCCAAGCAAAAAACTAACAGAAACCGATAGATGGAGCCAAACATGCACTCAAAGCCTCTATTGATGCAAAGAGGTAGAGAGCACCAGAACATCACCATGGACCAATTAAAGCATAAATAAAAACACAGGCCATAATAAATGAAGGTCCAAAATTTTCAGTTTAGGTTTCTAAAACACATTGAGCCAAAAAGAATCAGACCAGAATTCACCATGAGCCAGAGAGAATCATACCAGAATTCATCATGTGTACTGACTGTATCAACAGCATAAAGAAAAGAGTCTTTGACATGGGACAATCTCTGCAACTGTCAGTAATCCACTTCATATGGTCACCCGGGCGCATCATAAACATTTTCGCCAGCTTGCTAATTATATCCATGTTCAATGATGACAGATTTTCACGGATCAACAATCCCTTCTGATATGAGATCACAATTTCACAAGTTACTAGGAGAATTTAGTAATCACAAAGACAGGACATTAGCAGCAAAAACAGTCCTCGTGTATGAGAGAACAAAAAGAAGCTAAAAGTATTAAAAGATGAAGATGGTAAGAGGTTTTTAAAACATTAAACATGAAATTACAGACGAACCTGTAACTTGCAGCGTTCCTGTTCCGTCAGCTTGATATCATTGCAAGTTTTTACGAGTTCAGATAACTTAAAGTTGCAAAAGCTCTCAATAAGCTCAAGCCTCCGCTCATCAGAATGCAAGGCAAGTGTTTGCCCCAAATTGCTGATAACCTCCTTACTAATCGGGGGCAAACTTCCAGAGAGAAGATCTGGTACCTTTTTCTGCACCAAAAGGAAAATGTTGGTCAGATGATATATTTATATATATTCAACGCCAGACAGGATTCTTATATGCATGATTTTGATTTAAAGAACAAAGAATATGAATTATTGTAATTTAAGGTTTACCATTGCATCATCTGCAGCAAGATTCTTGCAAAGTGGCCAGTTAACTTCCTTCACCAATTCCAGGACATGTACATTCAACTTCCATGTCTATTCATGGTCACAACAAAAAAGATAAGAAATGAGCATGGGAGCCTCCAAAAGCATCTACACTTCAGTCAAAGATAGCCACAGAATATGAGGAGAACGAGAAATAACCTTCGGCTGAACTAGAAGAAAAGGGAACATCGTGGCAGTAACTTTCTGATCAAAGTCAGCCAGGTTATAGAGGCCTGAGATGGCAACTTTAAGAGACGAAGCAACAACATCAACAGCAAGATCTACATTGCGTGATAATCCTGCAACATGAATGGTTGGCCACAGATAAGGTGAAACCAGACAGCAACACATTGCGGACATTGATTCGAGACATTTCCTAAAAATAATATTTGCTCAACCTAGATCAGGATTCAAGCATATTTTATCTTGCAAAAGGAAGGTACCCCCTTTACGACTTTAGTTTGAGTAGGTCCAGTGCATATCAATGACAGCAAGACATAAGAAAGGTCCTGATAGGTGTTACCAGACCAGAATATTCATGTTTCATAGGACCGTACGTCCTATCAGAATAAAGATGGAAAGGGTAACTTTTACCACTTAGCTGAGATATTTATCAGGGGATACAACATAACACAAGGTCATTCAGTGGTGATAAATCTAGAGAGAGCCATGAACTATTATTAAAAGAATACTAGAATAAGAACAGAAAATCTAAGTCACCTGACGTGAGAATGTCGGTGCATCGTTTTACCACATGAAGCACTGCTTCCATCAAGTCAGAAGCGCTAAGAATATCACACAACCGATCCAAAGACAGGGCAGCCTGAACAACAGTCAGATCATCATCCCAAAGCTGCCGCAATATGGCATCCTGAACTGTCACAAGACTCTGGGCAGAGGGAGTAGACGAGGAATTATAAAAAAATCAGAAATCAAGGAGGGTAAAGTATAGAGAGAAGTAATGCTCAGAAATTAGGCCGCCATACCTCTGAATTAGCATTATCAACCTTGATAACACCATTAAGACTAGACAGTGCGGCACGGCGAATGGCAGCCTGTGATGCGTGACAAAAGCATTAGGTTTGAAATTTGAATTGAATAGGAAGAAAATTTTAAAAAATGCGAGTTATGATCGGTTGGAGGCAATAGTACCTTGGGATGGTGGAGCCTGAACCATAACTTTGAATCCAAGAATGGCTGGGACATAACTGAGTTCCCATCCAACATACGAGACAACATCTCTAGCTTTGCGCCCTCTTTCTTTGATTTAACTTCACTATCCTGCAAGAAGAATAGGATGACTCAGAAAAACCATAAAACTGAAAACTTCTGCAGAAAATAAGCCATAGAAGGTTGGTCCACAAACCTCCATAAACTTGGAAACTGCCTTGTGAAGTTCCGCGGGATAATTCTTGCCAATTACAAGCAAAATTTTCTTGGCCCAGCTTCCTGCAATATGATTGCAACTTTGGCTGTAAGCTAGAGCAAGGGCACAGAGGGTATGAATCCTGAAAATGAATAACTTCTAAAACTACGAGATACGAGGTATCAATTCCAATAACTTACCGGATGCAGTCGATGCAAAATCATTACCCTTTTGGTATGACATCATGCACAAAGAGAAAACCTCTGAGATCAAACGATCAACCAAATTGTTAATAGGAACCGTATCTATGATCGAAGTTAAAGCCTGGCAACATTGATCGTCAGAGGAACTGCAAAATAATGACAATAAGTTAAAACAATGAATAGTAAAACGGATTTATCAGCAAGAGCCGTTAAGAAAACCAAGTTAATTATCCACCTTTGACGAAGAAAAGAATGCAATAGCACCACCAGGAATCCATTGATGCTGAACTCTTTGGACAAGCCCAAAAGAACACCAGATATATCCCTAACACGGTATGACCAATTGAAAATAGCATTAGAAGCAAATAAAAAAAGTGATTTTTGAAGACAGAAGATTTTGGACTCAAGGACTACCTTATTTCCTTTAAAAGGTTCAAAGCCTTCTTTGGGATCTCTTTAACAGGTTGCAGCTGCGATTGATTCAAGGAAGCTAGTCAGTGACAAAAAAAAAATATATAACAAAGGGAAACATATTCAAAAGGTGTAAGTTGTAAGCTCGATTACTTTAGCATGTTCAAGCTAGATGTCTACTCTCCAATGAAAAGTTCGAGATTTCGTGATAGTTAAAATTTAGACTGCAAGTTCAGTTACCTGAACAAAATTAATTAAAGCCATGAATGACAAACGAAGCCATTGAGGATCAGAGGAATCTTTAGCATGTTCATGTGCTATCTCAGCAATGGACCGTATAAAGCGTGGGAAAAGATCTTTGTCCAGCGTGGATCTGTTGGCCAGGAGGCCAATAATCATCAAAGCACCAGCCTATAAGCAACAAAAATGCCAAAGAACACATCAAACGAATAACCCAAATTCCAAAGAAGAATTTACAGAACAATAATGCATCCTTTTTGGTTCTGAACCCTGGGAGAAGTATATAGAAGATAAGCAAAAGATTAAATATGCAGCCTAGTTCCATGATAATCTAATAGATTCATCTCATTACAATTATTACATGACTGCACATTTATTATAAGGATCAAACTGACTGAAGATTTGGCTCAACAACTAACCTGGTGATCTGAACCATCTCTCACACCAGGTTGAAAACCAGAGTCCACAAATGGCAGAATTCGCTTCACGACATCACTGTCAACAGGTGTGATAGAACCTAAAACCCCGACAATAATGGCCGTGCAGAAGTTGACTACGGGTTTCGAAGGTTGATATTTCTTAGTCCGAGATGCCTGTCAGCCAGCAGCAGCATATGATGTTCGGTTTAATACAAAGTACCAAAAACCCATTTGGGATAAAAGCAATAAGCTCCCACTTACATATTCACACAAGACTTCCAAAACCTGCATATCACGGACACACTGCTGAACTATAACCGATCTAGGAAGTGGAGCACCAGAAGTTTTCACAGCATCTAGAAATTTCCACTTGTCATTCCTGTGATCCAAATGATATATGAGATTTACAAACTTATCCACACACTGCAGGTCTTAACTACAAGTATGAATGAATCAGTCTCACCCAGTCTTGATCAGCTGAACAATACGCACAAATGCATGTGTGTCGTGATATGGCAGGGCACATAATACCAAATCCTCTGAATTGTATACATGAATCCTGAAAATCCAACAGTGAACCACAATTTGATGAAGGTTCTTAAATTAGTATGAAGGCAAAGAAGCATGTAAAGAGTTTCATCCTCAACATCTAAAAATAATGTGACAAGGGGCAGAGCTAAACATACTTGTATCTCCGTATTAGGTACTCGAGCGTTTCCAAGGAAGCGCGATGTTGAAGATAACCTGATAGTAACCGTAGGAACGAACTAAGTGATGCATCAATTCGGTCATTTTCTTCTCTACCCACCAGTTCTCTATCCAAATCTCTGCTCTTATGACTAAACAAATCGTTCTTGTAATTCCCAAACCTTTCCTCGATCCTTACAAGCGATTCTAGACCTGAATTGACAAAACAACAGAAAATCAATTGGGTGAATTTCTAGCAAATACAACTTTCCTCTATATTGACGTTGTTTATTCTGCAATACAAAAGGCAAGGCTACACAAAGTTTGTTCACGCAATTCCATATACTTTCCCGGGAAACAAACAGAAAAAAAAAAGAACAAAAACCCAGCAGACCTCCGAGGCCGAGGTTGTAAATGGTCTCGATATCGACATCAGCAGCTGCTTTAGGGCTGAAAAGAATGGAAGGGCGAGTGAAGGGTCTCTTGAGAGGCTCCGTATCAGCCTGTACTAGTGATTTGATGGCCTGTAACTGCGACGCGATTGAGCTCGCCATTGTTGTTCTCCGGCAAAGAAGAAGGCGTATGAAAATTTACCAGAAGCTCGATATACTTTTTTCCAGGGAAGAAACGAACGCAGTGGATCGCGGCCTCGAGTCTTCGGCTTAATTCTCTGCGGGGGTTTTGCCTAAACCCTAAAAAAACAGAAAAGGATGGACTTTTTTTTTTCCTTCCCCCAATTTCAGTTGAGTTCGGACATTGACAATATAAATGGGCCAATGCAGCTACATATTTATGGCCCGTTTATCTTTATTGGGCTTATCTGATAATGAGCCCATCAACTCAGGCTAAATAAGTATTTTGGAATTTTTTAATTATCAAAATTTATATAATAAAAAAAACCTTGTGTTCGTGTATTGTATATCGTGAATGATGTATTCCATTTTATCTGATGATTTAATTTATGATTTTCCATAGTAATTACAATTTTGGACAAATATTATACATATATATTTGAGAAAATATCCAAAAACAAAACTTAATCTTCTCTCAATTAATACAAAAGCACCATAATCCAACAAATTTTTGGAATTATATATGGTTTCATTATGATAATTTGGCCTAGCTTTTATTTTTATAATACAAAAGCACCATAATCCAACAAATATGCGTTATTAATTGCTCATTTATCATCTGTAATTTAGTGGAGATCATTAGGGCAAATATGCAAAAGTGTTCCATATGAAATGGCAACCGCCCCCATCCAATCAAACTGTCATAGTTTGATCCTCTCCTCAATATTTATTTTATTTTCTTTGGTTGACTTGGAATTCCATTTTCTTATGATATGAACTAGGGTCTAGGGGTATGTCGTTTGATCAAGGTTATTCGAACGGCAAACCAACTATGGTATTTTTTCAAACCGAACCGTCCAAATTTTTAGACGGTATATTTTTTTTTTTGAAAAAACGATTTTTTAGAACCGAACTGAATCAAATCGAATTTTAAAAAATCTGAAAAACCGAGATTTTCTTTAGAAGATATAAGTTTTTAAAATAAAAAATGAACCGAATCAAAACCAAAATTAACTCGAACCGAATATGATATAATAACAGGGTAGTATATATTTTAATAAAATAAAATAGAAAGGAATGGAACTATTTCTAGACCGAACGCAACCCGTATTTATTTTTATTATTTAAAATTTGTCCACCAACTAAAACAAAGAACAATATTTATTTTCTCCCATATTTCCGTTTTCTGCTTTTAAATTTTTTGATATATCACACATAAAAGTTGTTAAATCGGTTTTGAAAGCTAATATAATTGGAATTCACAATTTTTAAATAAACAAATAATCGAAACTTGATAAATATCTGTTTCTATATAATTTATAAAAATATAATAAATATTTTTCTATTTTTGTGTACATAAGATGGAAAACTATAATATATTTCTCGATGGAAGATATATAAAAGATTTGTTATTATATATATGATATTTTATATTTAATATCTAACAATATAACAGTGTTATTTGTATTTACTGTGGTCAGAGTTGTAAGGATAAAAAAAATTAATAAAATATTTGACGCTTAAATGCCAAAATGATGTAAATTTTAAAGGTAATTTAATTTGAGTTATAACCATCTAAAAAAATAATTAAAAATTATAGATGAAGAAAATAACAGATGAATTGTAGACATCAAAAATGTTAATCCATCAATAAAATGGAAAAAAAAAAGATATAAAATTATAATCTTCGACCACTGCAACACTCCCGAGCAAGCAATTCTCTAACGCATTTACCTCTCTCTCTTTGTCCTTTCTTCGTCGGAATTCGCCTAAGCGTTGTTCTCTTCGAAAGTTAGGGTTCTTCTGAACTGTTCCATTTCTCGCAGGTCGTGTTTCGTACTCTCCTCTCTGTTAAAATATGGTCTCGACTCTGTAATTTCTCGAATCTGTTCTTCATCTGGAATCAAATTCGAGGAAAATTGGTAGCCCATTTCGATTGCTGCTTTGGTTCGCTCAATCTATAAGATTCAACAGCTAAAACCCAAATTTTGGGTCACTCGGAAATTTCTTTCCGGATTTTCAGTGTTTATGTTTTGCCTCTTTCACTGTTTCGGAGTTTTGAAATTCGTTTGGATTCATATGTTGGTTGCTAATCGTCTTGAATACTACTAGTTCTTCTCGAGCTTCCGTTCTGAATTCAAGATCTGTTTATGCCTGTTGTGGGATTTGATTCCGTGTTATCGAGGAATGACCCTCTTTTTCTAACTACTTCGCAGGTTGTAGCTTAGAACCTGAAGTGCTGTGATGGTATCGGTGTTAGGATTGGCTATGGTGTTGTACTCTAGGTTTTCGTAGCTCGAGAATGCCAGGCATTCCTCTCGTGACTCGTGAAACCTCCTCGTATGTCTTGTCCGGTTAACAGTATTTACTGGTTGGATTAGGCCTATAATTTTTGAAGAGTGTAGCTACTATTCCATTATTTTCTCATGTTTCAACTAATAATTAGTTGGTATATATACTGTTTTATTGCAAACGAATTCTGAAACCTGAATCATGCTGTAGAAGTAGTTTAATTAGTCATTTTCTGTAATGATTGATAAGTGGCTAAAGCATCATATTCCATTTATGGTTAGTTTCTTTTTGGTTCTGGGTCTTGTTACAATTTTGGCTCCGTATGAATCACAGTTGTTCAAGAAGCACAGATCAGATGTGCCATGAAGACTCCCATGTGCTTTTATCCGAAGAGGAGGAGATTGCTGCCGAGGAGAGCCTTGCAGCTTATTGCAAGCCTGTAGAACTCTACAACATTCTACAACGGCGTGCTATTAGAAATGTAATATGTTGTTTCACTGCCCCCTTTTAGAGTTTTAGAGAGAGGAATTTGTCTAAGGAACCCCTGAAGTTAGTGTAGCCTTTATCTTGTCTTACTGAGAAATAATGCCTAGTGCACTGCAGTTTGAGTGGCCTCAGTTTGTTATTAGCATCTTTCATTTCATGTCCAGCCTGCTCATTTTGATGTGTTTTTTTACTTTTCTGTAGACCTTGTTTCTTCAGCGATGTTTGCATTATAAAATCGAGGCGAAACATAAGAGGAGGTAAGCTTTTCCTTCTGTCCCTGATCCTGTTAATGTTAGAGTATTTGCATAATTCTCTAGCGTTCATCTTCATCCACTGTCTAGTACTTGAGTGCCACTGGTTAAGTGCAAGGAAAGCTTAACTGCTAATTTGCTGGTTTTTTTTTGCAGAATACAAATTACAGTATTTCTTTCAGGGACTGTAGATGTGGGGTTACAAACTCAAAGACTGTTCCCTTTGTATATTTTGTTGACAAGACTCGTTTCCCTTAAGCCCGTGGCAGAGGTAGATCTATGGATTTCCATTAAGATTGCGATCCTTGTTTGATGTCATATGCAATTTATCTTTTCATTGCTAACATTTTCTTTGAAATTTATCAAAATATAGTATTCTGCAGTATATAGGTTCAGTCGAGCATGCATCTTAACTGGTGTCCCTGGTTTCGATGGGATTAATCAAGCTCAAGCCAGTTTTCTTCTCCCTGATATGAATAGGCTTGCCTTGGAAGCAAAATTGGGTTCACTTGCCATCTTATTTATCAGCTTTGGTAATTCAGATGGACTGGTTCATGATGTTGTTTTCAAGAATTATTGCATTTAGGATTTTCACATCAGAAGTGATTGAAGGATTTGTTGCTTGCAGCTGGAGCACAAAATTCCCAATTTGGCATTGACTCCAGCAAGATTCATTCAGGTTGCATTTCTGTTTGCGACTAAATATTACTTTTAAAATTGTTGTTGCGTCCAGAAATTGATTGTGATTGTTGAATTGGAGATTTTCTTTTCACTTTCTATTTGCACTTTCAGTAGTTTCCTGCATCAGATTGTGGAATTCGGGACACATTGGTCTTTGCAATAACATCAAATCAAATCAGGGATATATTGATAGTATTTTTCTTCTTAAATTCTATCACATTTAGACCTTTTTTCCCGGCAGGCAATATAGGAGGACACTGCTTATGGAGCAAAATACCTTTGGAATCGCTCTATGCATCATGGCAAAAGTCCCCAAACATGGACTTGGGACAGAGAGTAGATTCAGTGTCTCTGGTGGAAATGCAGCCTTGCTTCATTAAGGTACAGAGAGCTCTCACTAAATGGCTAGATTATTTCATTATGTGGAAATGATGGTATTATCTGCTTGCGTTATGCTCTCCCTCTTTGTGCTCCAGACCATGCTTATCCTGCATATATGCATAGTTATGGTCACTGAGCAACTTGACTTTTTCAAAAGTTTGTTTCATTTCTCTTTTGCTTGTCGTGGTTGTGAAATGGGGTTCTAAATTATGTTGTCGCATTTAAATTAAGAGAATGAATTGGAGGCAAGCACTATTTCTAAACTAATTCTTCTATTGTTAGTTCCCTTTCTTTTTGTGTTCATTTGATTGTGGATTTTATTGGTAGTACTTGTCTATTGCTGCAGTTAAGCTGTGTGAATGAAGACAAATATGTCTCAATTCAGGTTCCCAGCAATCCCTTGACATCGGTAACCTTGCACTCCTTGTACACGTTATTCTGTTATTTTGCAAATGTTCTTTTTTATTTATTTATATTCTTACTTCCATATGCATTTGTTTTTATTTGGGCTTTTGAAGAGTTCGCCACAGCAAGTCCAAGTCACCATTTCTGCAGAAGAGGTTGGGGCGAAGGAAAAATCTCCTTACAGTTCATTTTCATATAACGACATTTCCTCTTCTTCGTTGCTGCAAATTATCAGGTATTATTCATTTCAATTTGTGCGCTTCTTGTGACTTTACAGGTCTCTCTTACCTCAGTCTGTTATGATTATTTGATTTTCTTGGCTTGTAATTGTATAGACTCCTAGAGATCATAATTTTATTTGTTTTGGTGTTTGCTTGTAGCTCTCTAGCTTATTCAAACATTTTTTTCTCTTTTGGAACTATGGTTGTTGCCCTTTTTATTTGGAATGCACACTAGGCTCTTCCTACAGCTACGTTTTTTCCCACGCATTGCATGGGTTTTGTTCTAACAAAATTCAAAAAGTATTTACAAGGAAGATAAATATATATTGATTTTTTTTTCTTTTTTTTTTTCTCTTAAAATTTGTGTTTCTTTATCTGGAAGAATACATATATTTTAGATTTTTAGGTTCTTCTTTCCAATGCTAAACAAGCGCATCTTTGTGTAGGTTGAGAACGGGAAATGTTGTTTTTAATTACAGATATTATAACAACAAGTTGCAGAGAACTGAAGGTAATTTAGTTATTTTCCTTTAGTTCCTTTCTTTGTTGTATGAGGCATTATCTCTTCAGTGTGCAAATTTGTGATCTCTGTTGTCTACTGTGCAGTTACAGAAGATTTTTCTTGTCCATTCTGCTTAGTAAAATGTGCTAGTTTCAAGGTAAACTTTCGTCTCTATTCTCAATTTTCTTATTCCGTCCTATCAAATACACGGCCACACTGGCTAGTCTTCTTGTAATGAGTTATTTTCTGTTTCCAATTATGCTGTAGGGCCTGAGATATCACTTGCCTTCAACTCATGATCTCTTCAATTACGAGTTTTGGGTTGGTAAACTTCAGGATTCAGCTTGCAGTTTTGTTCATTAGTCTTTGTGGATGTCGCTAACCCGACCTTGGGTCTTTTAGGTGACTGAAGAATATCAAGCTGTAAATGTCTCTCTCAAGTCAGAGACATGGAGATCTGAGGTCAGAACATTTTGCTTATTGGATTTATGCTTATTAGTTTGCCTGCTGTACGTTTTTCCGTTTAGGACCATTCACTTGCTCACTGCGATTGATTGACAGTCATTTCTCTTCAAATTTTTGCTGGCTAACATTTACTGATTTGGAAGGTCAACCAGCAGAAATTGGATGTTTTGGGAGTTATATATTGTCACTATCTCAATTCTACCATAATCCTTTTAGACATGTTATATTTAAAGCTTTGATAACATACTTCTTGCCAATATCTCCTCAATATTTGAAGTTCACTCTTATTACAGTCTACTTAATTTAGATATTAATCAATATTGTTCAGATTATTGCGGATGGCATTGACCCTAAACAGCAAACTTTCTTCTTCTCGTAAGTTATTTACACTTTTAATATTGCTATATCTTACTACCATACTACTGTGAGGCTTGCTTACAATAATAATTGTGTGGCACGTATGCAGTTCAAAGAAATTCAGACGTAGGAGACAGAAGAATCAGGTTCGAAGCTCTAGACAAGGGCACCCACTTGTCTTAGGTTGTGAGGTGCTGGATAAGACTGATGGTATGTGTTTCTGGATTGAATCAGTGATTAACTCAATTGATAATGTTGACCTATTCTGTTATGAGAACCCGTTTTAGTCCCACATTCATGATGAATTTGCTTTCTCATGTGCTTGTCACTCTTGGGATAATTTGGCCTAGCTTTTATTTTCTCTTCAGATGCTCATTCCAGCAAAACTGAAAAGAGTCGAATACCACCTGGACACAATGTGCTCTATGACAGAATTTGGGGCACTGAACATGGACAAGGTGCTCTACCTAGCGCTAGTGTTGCAGATTCTGCAGCACAATCATGTGCCGATCCTGATTATGTGCAGTCGATAGCTGGAAGTACAATGTTACAATTTGCAAAAACGAGAAAGCTATCTATGGAACGGTCTGACTTGAGGAAGTATGTTCTACTTCCCTTTTATTTGTTGCATCTGCATCTTTTCTATTTTCTTTCAACTTCAAGTGGTTTACAAAATGAAATGTATGATTATGCGTTCAACATTTTTTTCCTAATTTTTCAAGTCGTAGCCTCCTCCAGAAGAGACAGTTCTTCCATTCCCACCGAGCTCAGGTGATTCAATAGTTTCCTTTTCCTGTTACATATGTATGGCAAAACAATGGGCCTTTTTCAATAGCTGCTCTATTGCAGCCCATGGCTCTGGAACAAGTACTGTCTGACAGAGATAGTGAAGATGAAGTAGATGATGATGTGGCAGACTTTGAAGATAGAAGGGTATGTTTGAGGCATCATTTATTTGAGCATTGTATGTTGTTTGATTTAGTTAGATGATTCTATCAGCCTTGACTGTTGTTGAGTTATTATTACATAATCAGTAGATTGGAAGTAATGTGTCACACAATCAGGAACTACTCTGAGCTATTGCATGTAACTTTTTTAGACGAGCATCGCTCCATGAAAAATAGTGATTGTGAAGTATTAATCTGACCCCTGGAAAATCGTGAATTATTGATATAAATGTTGGCACATTTAGCTTCAGCTCATAAAAATTTTGATCTTCCTTTCCTCCAAATATTGTATTGAAATTGGAGATTTGTATTCTTGCACCATTTGTTCTGGTTCATCTCTCTAAGAATTCAACAAATGAGTGAACTTGCGTTAAGTGTGATAGTAGAAACAGAGGAGGATATCAGTAAGCAAAACTTCACAGCACTATTGTTGTGAATATGATATCTGGATCTCGCTTTGAGCATAGATTTGAGATATATTTTTACCGCACAGATGAACTCTACACATCGATTTCAAATGTTAGTGTGTACTCTGTGTGTTTGTCGAATACTCTTTTAGTGTGATGGTTCTGTCTATTTCCTTTAATCCCTTGTAATTCACTTTCAGATGCTCGATGATTTTGTTGATGTGACTAAGGATGAGAAGCATGTGATGCACTTATGGAACTCTTTTGTCAGGAAGCAAAGGTAAAATTCTATTGTCTTAGTTCTTTTCCAGTTTCCTTTCTTATTCCCTGACTATTATTATATTGAATACAAGTGTAATAAAAACAGGCATCAACCATTGCATCTGCTAGGCGCTCTTTGATCTGAACTATGAGATGATAGCATCAACCCTTTCCTAAAAATGTATCTTCTTGCTGGAACTTATAGACAATTATATCTCGGAGTTGTTTACTTATTGTGCCACGGCTTCTCCCAGTTCCAAAAGTATATCAAATCTTGAATTTGCTGCCAACTCTTGGCCACCCTGTGATTAGAATCAGATTGCCGCGTCAGGTCGATATCTATCTATGTGTTCTCGGGGAAAAAAAAAACAGTGTGATATGCCCTCTCAACCATTACATTGCTTAATAACATGTGTTAACGAGAATTAGTCTGGGCTATATATGGTTCCTTGTGCAGTCTGCCATTTTTGCAGCTTGGTAATTGTTTGGGTCCAATGCCTGAAACCATTTTTTTTTTGCACCTTCAAAATTTGCAGGGTATTAGCAGACGGTCACATTCCATGGGCATGCGAAGCTTTCTCCAGATTACACGGTCCGGTCCTCGTTAGAACCCCGTCACTGATTTGGTATAAACTCCTGCCTTTTTCATTAGATTCATCATCATTATGCATTCCTTTTTTTAAAAAAAAATCAAACGCCGAATCTAGATTGAAAGATTTAGAGTCCCATTTGTGACAAAAAATGAGACTGGGGTGTGTGTGTGTGTGTGTATACAGGTGTTGGAAATTGTTAATGATCAAACTGTGGAACCATGGACTTCTTGACGCGCGCACCATGAACAACTGTAATATCATCCTCGAGCAGCTCCAGAATCAGAACCCAGAGAACACCAAGTAGAGAGATTCAGACAAGAAACAAAGTTCTCCGTCTTAAAAAAAAATTTTATTTTCTTTGGCAAGAATCGAGAATTTTGGGTCATGGTTCAGTTCACCATTTTGTTGTATGTTTACCTTCTCATTCTTGAACCCAAAGTTCCTGTAATGGATCATGGATGGTACAAGCACGTGATGTCCTGGACAGTTCCTTTCTTTTTTCTTCCTTTTCTTTTTATAAGATTATGTACATTAACAAGAACTTTGATTTTCGCATCTCTTCTTGCGTAATGTTTTAACTTGTTTGGTCGTATCTTTAATTACCACATTGTGATTAATAATAATATACTTTGCAAAAACTATATGTTTTATTAGGGTATCTATTTAATTTAATCTCTTGTTGTATAGGGAACATCGTTCACCAAACAATATTCTTCATTGTGCTCATTTACTACATATCTTCTTGTAAACACGTTTTTTTATCATAATCCCAAACTAATAGTTATATGTTACGAAACAAACGAAAAATTAAAAAAAAAAAGTTGCAAAAGAAAGAGACGTTTATTCATTCATTCATTCATTCACCAACAAAACAAAGAACACTCGATATGGTTTTTACCTATTTACAACAGAGAAAACCAAAAAAAAAAAAACAGACATTTTTCTATCTTGTCCGAAGATCTCTCGTCAAGAACACAGAATGCATGCATGCATGGAGAGAGAGAGAGAGTGATCTAAGAAGTCTGGTGAGTGGCAGAGTGTTGCTGTCCGAACTGCTGAGCTCTGTCTTTAAGATCCTGCGCTTTGCTCGCCAGCTTCATCCTTGCACTGTCCAGCTTGTCCGCCCCCGGTGGGTGCTTCCCCGTCACGTACCTATACGTATTACGTATACATACATACACGTATATGTCCACACACACCCATCAATACTTACACAAAACTAATCCCAGTTTATTTCATCACATTCTTATCTAATCACACGACGTTACAGAACCCTACGTAGATTACGGCTTAAACCCAATTCCAGGTTCGGATTTAATGCTACATGCATTGGTTATTTCTATACATTTTGTGTATGTGTATGTACAGATTTACCTGTAGATCCAGGAGAAGACGGTAATGGCGGCGATGCCGAATCCGCCGGAGGAGAGGAAGCCGGTGATGAGGAGGGCGACGGTGATGACGGCGGGGACGAGGACGGGGCTGAAGATCACGAGCAAAGGCGTCGCCACCGTCAGAGCGATCACCGTTCCGGCGAGTGTCAGGCCGGAGAGTACGAGCAGTGACCCGCCGGCCGTCACCGCCGTCGCCACCTTCACCATCTGCCGTGACTTGGGCTGCTGCTCCCAGCTGCTGCTCATTTCTTGCGGTCGAGCTTGCACCTCTGCCATCTGATCGTACGGTCGAGATTCGATCTTTGTTTTCTGGAAAGATTAGTGTTTCTTGCTTGTTTACGTTTCTGGTTCGTTATATGAAGGAAGAAGGGGAGGGTATGGGGTCCACTTGGGATTTGCCACGTGTTCATGTGCCATCATGCAGCGGCTGCATGTCAACGAGAAGGGTCTGTTTGGTGACACGTTTGTTCTCGTCCCGAAAGAAAAGTGTGAAGGCAGGGATAAAATGGTCATTTCAGTGATGCTGACTATCTTGGGCCGAGTCTGGAAGGCCCATATAACTTCCACAAAGCCCGATAAATGTTTTGTTTTGTTGTTATTGAAAGTCAAAGGTTCAATGGGCTCATGGTCATAAGGCTTTTGAATTTGGTTAATGAATTGTGGGCCACGTTTCGTAATTTCTTTTTTTAATAATAATAATAATAATAATATAATTAAAAACGATTCTTTAATTTTAGATTATATGAGCCAAATTATTTAGTCTTAAAGCTAATACAGATAAATCTAAGGAGGGAATAATTCAAACGCACGTGTCTTTTACTTTGGTCTTTCTTTTCGAATGTAAACATATTCTTCAGAATTTTAATTTTTTATTCTTGAAGTTATTGATACATTGAATCCAATCCTATAACCAGAACCTACTGATCTTGAAAATGTTATATATACACACACACATCTCTCTCTCTCTCTCTCTCTATATATATATATATATATATATATATATAAATTTAGTGGGACCATGTCATATACATGTAATTTTAGATAAACTAGTAACCATATAATTAATTTTATGATAATACATAAGTTTTGGTGAAATTATAATCAATAAAAAATACAAATAATAAAACTATTAATATGTTTGTTTTAAAGATATATTATTAGACTCATAAAAGTAATGAAAGAAATGTTGAATAAGTTTTCTCATGATCAACCATAGAAAGCAATTTGCTGACCTTTCTCTTTCATCATCCAACACCCTATTTAAATAATTTGTTCATTTGGACCAACCAATAATAAAAGTAATTAATAACATTACACGCCATGGGTACTAACTAATTATGTAGTCGTTTCATATTGCTCAATGATATAATATTAATTAATATATTCATAAAACCAATAATATAATATTTAAAGAGATAATTATTATCATAGTATGAGACTCATTAAGGGATGATGTGGTCGTGCACGATTGTTAATAGAATATTAAACCTAATTACGGTTTGATTCTCACTTTTTCCATTCTTTTAATGACCCCACTATCCTCGACTTTCATGAGAAACGAAAAGAAAAAGGTTTATAGGGTTGTCGACATTAGAGTGGGGTCGACATTTCGGTTCGGGAATTTAATTTCGACCAAATCCAAACTGAAATCAAACCGCATTGAGCTAGATAACGCTCGGTTTTTAATTTAGTATATTTTTTTATAAAACCAAATAAATCGTTTTGAATGAAACCGAATCCGACAAAGACCGAATCAAAATCTGAACTATCTACCAATATATATGTAAATACTAAAATATTATAGTTTGCTACTTATTTGGTGTTCATATAAATATACCATTGCAAACCGAACTGAAATCCAAATTTAAAATTTGAATATATATTATTATTTTTCAAAATTAAAAATCCAAACCCAAAAGTAATCAAACCGAAACCAAATCTAAATCGAGAGTGTATATATATCCACCCTAAATTCACATTTAATACACTTTAACAAAAAAAATTCACATTTAATACATAAATAACAATGTTGTTATATGAGATAGTTAGCTTCTTAAAAAAAAATTGATCATTTTTTTTCTCATGAAACACATTTTTTTTAATGAAAATCTATAGGAGAACAAATCTACTACAACACTTTTTATTCATTTATGTACTTTATCTTTGTGTATTAGTAAAAAGAAATGTCACTAAGCCCAAAAGTCATTTGATTATAAATGTCTTAATTCATTGAGCGTAAAAGATTAATGAAAAAAAAAGTTCCTTTCCTAATCATTCAGATAATACAATTTTTTTTATGAAGGACCCAATAATTTATTTTAGAAAAAAATTGCATCAAAATAAATAAATAAATAAATACAGTAAAAAGCGTCCACTTGCCACGCTCCCAATAGTAGAAAGCTAAAAGTCGAACGATCCTTCCTTTTACATTCCCACGAAGCTCAGTACGAAACCCCTCTCTCTCTCTCTCTATTTATAAATACAAACGCCTCTCTCTCGTATCCTCTCATCCCTCCCTCCCTCCCCTCTCTCTCGCGATCAAGAAACGCAATCTTGATCTTGTCGGGGATTCCATTCGGATTCAAGTTTCAGGAATGGAGAATCGTCGAGAAGAATCGGCCTTGGAGCTGATAAGGCAACACCTCCTGACAGATTTTTCATCGGCGGAGACCTTCCTCTCCAGCCTCCACCGCTGCACCTCCACCCTCAACCCTAAACCACCTTCCTCTGCGCTGAGCCGACGGAAACCGCCTCTTTCCAACATCTCAGTGCCCAGGACGGGCGCTTCATCTTCGCCGTCCATACCCAGCGGTCATAACAGCATGGTCATGGTGATGAGCGACCATCACCGTCATCATCATGAGGAGGAGGAAAAGGGTGAGGAGGAGAGGCACTACAGAGGAGTGAGGCGTCGTCCATGGGGAAAATTCGCTGCGGAAATAAGGGATCCGAACAAGAAAGGAGCGCGTGTATGGTTGGGGACGTTCGACACCGCTATTGAAGCTGCAAGAGCTTATGACAGAGCTGCTTTTAAGTTACGTGGCAGCAAAGCAATCCTTAACTTCCCTCTAGATGCAGGGAAGAATCTTAACACAGACAAAGACAACAATCTCTGTCTTGCAAGGAAGAGGAAGAGAGAATCACACGAAAAAGAAGAAGAAGAAGAAGAAGAAGAAGGGAAGATGACCCTTAAGGCCATGAAGAGGGAAGAAGATCCAGCGGTGGTGACCGATGAGCTCTGCCCCTTGACGCCGTCAATTTGGACGGAGTTTTGGGACGGAGGAGTAGACGGAAAGGGGATGGGAATCTTCACGGTGCCACCACTGTCTCCTCACCCATCTCTTGGATTCTCCCAACTTGTGGTTACGTAAGCTTCTGAGGCACAAAAACCAGAGGAAAAGTCTCATTATCCACAATACATAATCCCAAGAAGATAAAGACGATGGTAAAAGAGTCGCAATCACTTCACAAGTTGATGCCTTTGAAACAAGCAAACTCCCCTCCTTTAGGCAGCTGGTTTATTAGTTGATTGTACATTCAATGTATTCGTTGATTCGTATTAGTGAATGAAATCTTCAATCTTTTTCACACGCAAACTCAGACAGGGTATCAAAGAAAGTATCTCATCAATAGTTTCATGTTTCTGCCTGGATGCAACGGCCGAGCTTGTTTCAGGCACATTATCACCAGAATCTTTCGACCCATCTGCCCTTTCAAGAACCTGCAATCCGGACATGGAAGAACACGAGACGAGGTTGTAATCTAATGGACAAAAGTAAAGAATCAACAATCTCAGAGAACACGTAACGTGAATCTAGAGAGAGCTTGCTGCGACATATGGGTTTACTTCAGCCAATTGACTAAAAACCCATTACGGAATTCGCATCCAAAGTGAAGGTTACAGCGCAGAAATCAGATAAAATTTTCACGAAATACGCAAACTTTTTAGGGACCCAAATAGAGACTAAGGAATCCAAGCAAGCAGAATCAACCAGACACCGGGAATGATAAGAAGAACGGATGCAGAAACAAAACAGGAAGAGAGAGAGATCCAGAAAGGTTTTTAGAAATTGGGGAGCATAGGTATAGGCACCAGAGAAGCAACAGATTTTACAGAAATCTGTGTTTAACAAAATGCGGGGATAGCTCAGTTGGGAGAGCGTCAGACTGAAGATCTGAAGGTCGCGTGTTCGATCCACGCTCACCGCATCCAATTTTGTGTTCTTTTTTTTTATGCCATTTAAACACTCTATAATTATAAATAATTATTTTTTTAAAAATTATTATATTTCGTATACAAGTATTGAAAACGAAAATTAGGGAATCATCAGCCAAAAAGAAAAAAAAAAGGAAGTGCCCAAGAGCTTTTACATCGAGAACATTTACAGGTTAACATATGTATGAATTAACCGAATTTCCTCCTATTACTAAAGACCCATGTCTTCCATTGATTGGTCTTCCTACCTGCAGCAGTTATTAGTTGGATCGTTTTCATTTCATAATGTACACATAGTTATATTTATTTATATTGAATGGAAGAAATAAAAAAAATAAAAATAAAAAAAAGGTTTGAGCTTCACCTATTAACTACAAGTGTCTTAAGCTCTTGGGGTGGAGACAACGAGTTCAAGTGAGGAAATGATCAATCATGTGTTCTATGACATCTGCTCCTTCTCTATGCATGATTTCATCTTTAACCTGCAAAAAGCCAATTGCCATAAAGAAGGAACATGGAGAAATATCAACAATAACATGACCTAATCCATCCACACAAGTGATGCTCTATGGGCCATTTCCTCATTAGGATTTAGGGGGAGGGAGAGAGAGAGAGAGACCTGTATAACACTATGAGCAGCAAACCTCTGCCTGCTGCTGTGGAAGCTAACATCGATTTTCTCCCAAGAGACGGACGAGAGGCCTCTGATCATTTCCTCTGCAAATCACAGAGGGGCTTTAGGTTTCACAGACCCAACCAAACCGAAAATGGACACTAAACTAAATACTGTGAAAAGATAATAGGCTCTCTCACCAAATGAAACAGGATTTGTAGTTTACCTTCCATGTTGTCTGAATCATTCTCGCCTTCTGATGCATTCTCTGCATCACATGGCTTGCAGTGCTCTTCATGAACAATATGAGGGTACTTCTCGTTACGAGAATCCTCCCACTAGTAACCAAGAACAATTCATTTGTCAAAAGCCCATCGTACCCAAATCCCAAAATCAAAGAAACTAGCCCAATTACCTTAGGTAGATCGCTGTCACGCCTGATAGATGATGTTCTCCAGCCAACGATGTCTATTCAGATCGTGTCAAGGAAAAGGAAAGATGAGGCCATGACATGAAAAATACTAAAGGATGAAGTATTACAGGCCGTATTATCTACCGACAGGATACGATCATAGCCCACATTTGAGTAAAGAACCTTCCTTTTGAAGGCACGCAATGCAGATCTGCAAAAAGAGTTGGCTTCTATTAAATAGTGTTAAGACATGGTTAGCCTACTAATTTGCAACGTATGGCACCGGCTAGCATACATGAAATGGCAATCATCAGAGTCTTCAGCCATGCGTCTAAGCAATGGTGGCTTTCCATCTTCTTCATCTTTTAGGAAAAGGTGTCGGCCTGTTCTTTTGAATATCCAGTGGATAACAAGACCTGCTACTTTCTCAAAGGAAGTAACACCAAAGAGAAAAGGGACCTGAAAACACATAAAAATACTTTTCAGGATTACGCATCCCTTCAGAATCTTAGAGCCAAAACTGAACTGAGAAGGCATATCAAAAGTATACAAACATGTCTTCATGACTCATGAAAATGTGTCAAATTTATTGTCGCCTAGATGAAGTACTCAAGTTCTGTGGGAAATCTCACCAACAGAAGCTCAAAATTTCCCTTCTGATCAAAAGTAATAGAACAATGGGCTCACAGAAGCGATCTTGGCCAATAAAAGTCATGAAGTTAAGAAAAAACTGGTTTTTATTTTCAACTCATTTGGAGAGACATAATTTTTCACAAGAATAAACCATGTTGCCAAGTCGTGTAAATTACATGCAAGTAAAAATGCAATTTATACAGTTACCTGCTTATTGCCCTTAGAACCCAAATGAGGTGTAGCTACAGTGATGAAGTTCATAGCTTCCAAACCACATATTGTGCCATTTGAAGTCTTTTCACAAACATTCCCCGATGAATCTTTCCCATCTTCATTCAGAGCTGGTCTGTATAATTTCCCAATAGCATACCTTGCTGCCAGCCCACCCAAAGAATGTGCCACAAAGGAGATCTTGCGGATATTTGGTTTTCTTTGAAGTACTTCAAGTACCTGATATCCAAGGTTTCTAGAACATCTTGTTGCATCGGCCAGACTACATCAACTAACTTCGGTAGGAAAATTACACTTACCTCATTTGCCAGACGCTCACCCATCACATCCACGCCATCTAGAGTAAGCTTAGATGCATTTCGTTCACTACCTGGTTAGACCCAAAATATAAGAAACTTGGGGTGACATAGAAAACTTGCCTAGTGTCTCCATTACGCATAATTTTGGACTGATACTAAGCCAGTTGGGGCAAGAGAAGAGCTCAACAGTACCTCACAGTCATGGCAATTACACCATAAAATCTCTCTCCGGTCAATAAAATTTGGAATTGGTAACTCAAAGATCTCACAATAGGATGCCCTAAATACATATTCATCTTTTTGCAGAAACAATGTTCCAAGACGTGCAACGTGATGCCCTTCATAACTAATCGGCAAAGAGCATCTAGAGTTCCATAATCAAGAAAAATATCATCAAACCCTAAACACAATCAGCAGGTTTTCATTTCTCTTCCTATTCCCAAACGTGTCGCCTAAAATCAAGGAAACAATAAAGGAAAAGGGGCTTCTTACAGTGAACAAATACTTTATCTGGGAGCCTTCTAACGAATTGCTCAGCTCCAAATTTCCAGTCATCCGTACTGCAGAAGCAAATAAGGAACTGACATTACAGTTTTCGTCCAAAATTGAGTTCTTAATTCCATTAGTAAGACTGGCTAATTCCGACACATATCAAAGAAGACAGGACAATCTAACCGTATGAAGGGAAAAAAAACCAAAGTGATAGTTTCCAGTGCAATATAGCAGTGCCTCAAGCCAGAGATTCAACGAATTCGAGGTAAATCAAGTAAATAAGCGGAAATTAACACCGCCCACATACAATCAACATAAACAGAGATGACATAATTCAACTTCAACGACGCCTAAGCAGCCCGAATAGCTGAATATTCTCAACTCCGGCAACAGCAGAAGCCAGCGATTATACCTCCCTAAGATTCCATGGACCATAACGACGAGGTGGTCGGCGGAAGAAGAATCCGAATCATTACAACTCCACACATCACGGCTCCCATCCACAGCCTCCGCCGAGTAAACGCCGTTCTCGTGCTTCTCCATTGAAGAGGGAAAAAAAAAGCCCAATCAAACACCACCCAATCCGATTCGAATCCAGCAATAAAACCGATTCAAACACCCGATTCTGGGCTCGTGTGAGGAATGTTGGATCGGAATCGGGGGAGGTGATCGAGTCGGTGGAAAACGTTCAAAGGAATCATAAATGGAGTTCGACAGAGATTTCCGGCCTCCGATAAGGAAAATGGATGTTCCTCTTATTTACTTTATTATTTATTTATTACTTTTGATTACGTGGTTCTGCTGAGTATTGTCCACGTCGGCAAAATTACGTTCATATCGTTACCATTTTCTGGGGCTTTAAAAAGAAATACGTTTTCCACCCCAGTTCTTTCGGAATAACTCATTTAGACCCCTATGTTTTTAAATGAACAAGTGACCATACAAGCGCCTGAACAGGGATACCCTGGAATCTTAACCAACGATGATTATGTTGTGGTGTTTGCTATATGAATCTAATCTGGGCCGTAAGATGAACCCTCACAAATCTCAACCGTTGTTTTTTTGTTAAAATCAGAACCATTGCATTTGTTCCAAAAGATCTCAACCGTTGCTCTTTCAAACAATTAAAGACCATTGGATCAATGTGCAAGCGAATCTAACCGTCAATTTGAATTCATAATCTGAACCACCGTATTAGATCCTAATCCGTTTTGGAACCATTTCAAAAGAGAATTACGGATACCGATGTCATTAGAAACTGCTGATTTGCTAGATTCAGAAGCAAATTTTAGGAGCATCAAGGGTGATACGGTAGTATTCACTCAGATCAAGTGTTGGATTTGCATTTTTGCTTCATCATAATCATTCGTTGACCATTGATTGGAAAGAAGAGATTGAAGGATAGTGTAAGGAGATTGCTCAGTGGTGGCGATTAAAAAATTGGTTCGATTCTGCCAGCCGATTTCTTCAGCCGAAGCTCAGAAGAGGGAGCTGTGAATCCTCATCGCAATCTCCAAATCCTCTGGAAAAGCGAAAATATTTCAAAACGTAAAAACATTGCCGAGAAAATCCAATAGCTATGGATCTAAAAACAGAATCCAGAGGATTCTCGGGAAAAACACAGGAATTTTCACGAGAAACTCCGTAAACCTTGATGAGAAAGAAAAAAGAGGAGAGAAATGCTCAGTTCAGCGGGAAAATCGACACAAAAACGAAACTCCGATAAGAGAGAATCGCCTTGTTCCGGTCTGTTGAGCTTGAATTTAACCGAGTCGTCACTGCGATCTCTCTCCACCAAAAAATACAAAAAAAAAAACCGAGAGAGAAGAAACGATGAACCGCAGAAGAAAGAAAATTACAAAAGAATCGTCATATCGGCAGAAACAAGGAGCAGACCCAGATGCTTAACTTGGAGACGATGGCTGACTTATATAGGACGGGACCGAGCTAGGGTTTGTGCGATGGAAAAGATGAGGGTGTTTCTCGGATCCAATTTGTGACCGAAGGCCCAATTACGGCCCGTTAACAGTACCGCACGAGTCCATTCAAAATATGACGAAGTCTCTTACTCAACAAGCGGGTACGCTTTGTGATGAAGTCTCTTACTCAAAAAGCGGGTTACGTTGCGGTTTTTTCACATCAAATTTCCATTGGAACGTAGAGGAGATAGAAGGTGGAAGCTTTGAGAGCAACCTACGGAGACGACTCGTCGGACTCCGACCCCGGCGAGAGAGCATCCACCGGAAAATACGCGGAGGAGCCGTTTCCCTTGCCTCCACTCCGCCGTTGTCTCCTCTCAATCCGCCTAGCTGCTCCGGTGATTCGTAGGAATAGCTCGTGTGGTTGTTCTTCAATCTGATTCATACAGATTTTTCGTTTATTTTATAATATTTTGGATATTGAAGATTATCTTGATATCTTTTCTGCGGAGCTAGCGACCAGAGTGAGATGCTTTCCTCATTTCGAGGGAAATTACGCGTTGCACGTTTGCATCCCTGGTAATCCCCTGTTGTGCAATGTCGCTTGAACATTGATATTTTCGTTTTCCATAAATTTTCCGATAATCTTCGTACACAGCGCAGTGGAGCCGTACTGATACTGGTGAGTAGTTCTTGTTTAAGAGTACATGTTTGCGGAGTTCAGTGCAGTTGGTGCCAAATGAATCGTGCCATGAGATGTTCCTCATTGGAGCGTTTAGATCATATGAAAATTCTGCTCATGGTCTTTCCAAGTAATCACTATGTGTTCCATATGTCAGTGCATTCATGAAGTGTATCACCTCAGCTATGGTCTTCGACGTTTTTCTTCCTCACTCAAGATCATCATTTTGTGTTTTTAGTATCTATACCCACTATGCCCAGAAAGGATATTGCTTGCTTTTTGAAGAGGGTTGCTTTAATTGTTCCTGATCTTCATTTGGTGGATGCTGATGTTTTTGAAGAGGGTTGCTTTTTGAAGAGAGTTCCACTTCCACATATGCTTGGGAAGAACTCGTTTTCACCAGATTAACTCTGTTGTTTCTTTGTTTTAGCAATCTGAGCTTCTATACGAGATGTGTCACTGAATTTCACAGACCTAACGGATTTCTCTCTATTTTCAACAGGTATTGGATTGATATTAATAGGCGGGAAGTGTTTGTGAATGAGGACTAGCTGAGTTATGCCAAGAACAAGGAGAGTTACTCTCAACTTTAGATTTTATCTCACTCAAGTTGTTGTTATAGACATGGCCGACCACTATTCATGTTGTTCTCCAGATATTGGACTGATTCGTGTTTATCTACCTCAGATAAAAGTTTACAAGCTTCACAAATCTCCCAGAATTCTACAAGATCCACATCCCTCAATTTTATGTGGTTTGTGAGCTAGAAAGCTTGATATCATTTAGAACTTGTCAATGATATTAATACATTGAGTATGAATTGATTTTGACCCTAAGGTTCCACGCCTGCATTTATCCTTGCTGTGGGCATTATTGGGGGATATTAGAAAATCCTTGAAGGCAGCTGTTGAAAGAGAACTGAAGAAACTCAGAACTTGCGGTTGTGTTTATAATCGCATCTTCACTTGTAGGATCCGTGTTATTGAGTGTAAAATAGGAAACAAAACATACAAAATTTTTAAACTTCCTGATGACTAATTTATGCATGAACCCCTCATGTATTTGTTGGAACAACATCCCTGCATCTGCTATTGAACCAGCTTACACTTTTTTTATGTCTTCATAACCTCTGCTCTGTAAATTGACAGACGCATAAAGATATACTACTATGCTTTTTTTGCCTGATGTCTTCTTGCAGCTGCAGGTACCTAATAGTAATGCAGGAATTTCAGTTGGCTGTTGGCTGGGTTTCTTATGACAGGAGGAAGCGATACCGTTCAGTTAATGACTTATTTGGTAAGTTCTGTTTACTTGTAGTTAGCCCGAGAAGTTAGTCCATCAATTTTATGTTCATGTTAATATCTCTTTTCAAACTCGTCTGCCCAGAATGCCCTTCTTCATCCTTAGTGCTCAGCCCATGTGTTTTCTTCACATTGCCAATCAATGCAACCGTTACTAAAACTGGTTGCTCTTAACAGCAAGATGCTGAGAGTTTCTCCTTGAATTATACGTCTTCAGTAATCTTACCACAACCTGTAGCTGTGTCTCCTCCCACATTATTGTTACCTAGTGCAGTTGCAGCGTGAAGAGGAGTTCTTTTGCCGTACCTTATGGGTTATGACTGTCAAAGCTTCATATCGATCTCCATTATATCCTTCATAATCGTTGCTTCAGCCATGTAAGCAATGCCAAATTTCAGCCACAATCGAGGAAATGGAAGCAATTCGAAGTTGAGAAGGTGTGCTTGCATTGAACTTCACTAAACAACCTCACCTCCGTTCTGATTCTGCACGACAGTCTACTACCTTCTAGGTACTTTTAAGTTTCCTTAGTCAATGGCAATGATTTTTCTCCCCTGTTTGATTCCGAGTTCTGTCTCAGTAGTAATTTTCTAAACCCTGCCTCTTCTTTTTTACAAACGTAACACTGGTGGTTTGTTATAATACAACAAGAGGTCCTTGTGAACAATTGAGGAGTGAATCTATCACTTTTACAAGGGTTACATATGGAATCCTCCTCTTCTCTAACTATCTTCAATAGAAATTTTTAAAGAAAACTTAAAACATCTTGCGAAATATAAAACACACCAGTTTCACGAGCTTACGAACAGGTTGCTCAAGTAGCTTAGTAAGGAATGGTGAGGCAGCGGAGATGACAGACGTGATGATAATGCAGTAGAGCTTGACATGATCAGGAGCAATGCTGTTCATTGATGCGTTTTGTGAGAAAAACATAGCCACCATACAGACCCGGAGGTTGAAATGCAACGGGAACCCACGGGTGAGGATTTCGATCATTGCAAGAGACACAGAAAATCCAATAGTGTTGAAGAAGACGAACAAAGTGAATGAAACTCCCTCAAAAGTCCCCATAATAGACTTTCCTGCTTTATGAGGTTTGTCATCTATGGCGGTTTTGTTTTGTAGGCCTGAACCCAAGTAGCTGTCTTGCCAAGTTCCGCCCGGTGGGCTCAGACTTGCCTGAAACGTGGCTGTGGCCACTAACGAGGCTACCACCAGCAAGGCACTGCGTGCTTCTGATGGTGAATCTCTGCATCTTTTGAAGGAGAAATACTCGACGAGATCATCATCATCATCTTCATGTGTTGGCTCTTGGCATGTCGGATTGGTCGTGGAAATGGTAATGGCATGTTCTTTTCCCCTCCGAGCCCCGGCTTTGATGAGAATTTCATAGATTTCTCTGTCCCCAGCTTCGCTCGGAAACATCAACAGCAAATCCAAGGCTGCCAGTCCCATCTTGTTCACAGCGTTCACCTCACTCCGGTATGATGTCTCTTCTTCTGGTTTTGCTTGAAGCAGCGTTTCAATGACCTGGAACAATGCAAACTTTTTTTTTCCTTCGACTGAACCCTAAATCCGAAAAAAAGAAGAGGATTTACAAACTTACTCGTCGTTGTTTTCTCCAGGTCGCGAGATGAAGAGGCGTGTTACCTTGTTCGTCTTTCATGTTCAACACATTGCCTCTCTTCGATTCTCTGATCATTTCCACCATTGCATCCACAGCTTCGTACCTGTGGTGCTGAAC